GTATAGGATGCCAATGGGGAGAGCTTAACTCTCACACGATTGGCACAAATCTCTGACCCCAGACTTCGGTACCGCTTGCTTTGGGGCATGTATATTTTCCATTCATTTCTTCTCTTAATGTGTGTACTGTGGCAATTTGTCATTGCTTTTGGGTAGCTGGGGATCTGTTTATCTTTAAGATTGAGGTGTGTATGTACTGTGTGATTTTCTGATCACATATATGTAACTTGGCTGCCTGAAGCACCATCTATTTATTCTGCCTCCTTTATTTCATATAATAAAACAACATTTCTTTATTCCTCTGGGGTGAACTTATCAGGCATAAGGTTAAGAGCTGAAACATATATTCATAAATAGTCACATGTATTGATTCTGGCAAAATATCCCAAACCTAATGGGAATGTGTGTAGGGGTACGGGGGTGGATATGCATGTGGATTCAGGCTTACACCACATAACAAAATATGCACATTGCTTGGTAGGAAAAAATGAATGGCGAACTATGGCATTTCCAAGAAAATAAAACAGAAGCAGGGAAAGTGGGATAAAAGGGAACGGAAAACAGTAGTTCTTTAGGACCCTAGGGATTCCTATAGCTGGTGTCCAAGCAACTCACTTCACTGATCAGCTAAAAACACTGATAAGCAGGAGCAACTAGGCTGGCTCATTTTGTGTAAATCGCTTAGAAGCGTACCTGCACATTTTGCTTCATAACTTTCTTTTAAGTGTCTTGCTGCTTTACTCTTGAGTAAGGAGCTTTGAGGCATGCATGGTGGCCCCACCTATTGGCCAGTGTTTATGGTGGTTATGAAAGTGCTAGTGCTGCTTTTTAGCAAATGGCACAACCCACACTTCAGGCCAGAACACCCCCCTTAAGCCTTGCATAGAACCCTGCTCATGACAAACTGGTCACCTGAACCATTAATCCTATCCACAGATTACCATCTGGCACATCACTGCCCACATTTCTGAGGCGGATTGAGGCATGGTGTTGGTCTCTGTCCGCAGAAAGGATTCACAAAGCCACTTTGCTCTTTGTAAAGCTGGCTGTGAGTTCACAGCAGATGTATAGGCTGGTTCTCCCACCAGCACTGCTGAGGATCTTGGAGCTCTCGACGTGCTGATGGTTGAAGGTCTACCAAGGTATTACGTTGATGTTGACCAGCTCCTCAGAACACCGGGTGCTTTGACATGGAGACAAGTTTTTCTAGTTCATTGCAGGTTATGCTTATAAGGCAAGAACACAAGTGGAGCAGGTGAGTTATACCAGCCCTTTGAGTGCATGACAGGCTGGCGTGCTGCCACAAGCACTGTGTTTTGGGATACCTCTTTGTGTATCACCTACTGCAACGGATGTCTTGCCTGTGTTGCAAGTTTCCCCACTTTGGCAATACCCAGCTTCCTGCTATCTTTACAATACCCTGACACAGAGAGATCAAGAAGGAGCCAGCTACTCTGAAGGATGAAGGCGCGGGGCCACTTTCCCACATTTGGCAAGTAGTTTGAACTATAATTTGGTTGCTGCCTATTTGAGTGACCTTCAGGCCCACAGACAAAATCTCTCCACTTGAATGCATACCTAGGACTTGTGTGTACAGTTGTACCTCTTGTTACATCAGTCTTCCGGGTTTCACCCTGTGCGCATGTGCAGAAGTGCTCTGCGCATCTCGTGCATGCGCAGAAGAGCTCTGCGCACCTCACACATGCACAGAAGTGCTCTATTGTGCCGCGTGCATGTGCAGAAGCAGCGCTCTAGTTGCGGACTTTTCAGGGTGCGAACGGCACCCCGGAACGGATCAAGTCCATAACTAGAGGTACCACGGTACTGGGCCCTACAGACAGCAGGAGCCAAGGGAGATGTTGAGAATGGGAACCTGTTTAGCAGAACAGGGGGTGATCATAGTTAGACAGGCCATTAACCAGTTCTGGGTAAAGAGGGAGGCTGCTAGCCAAGAGCATCTGTGGGCCAGCTTCCTAGCACTACTAGAGTGGAAAAAGCTGACTTATGGCTGGGTGAAGTGTCAAATTAGTTCTCATAAATGTTTGAATACTATGTGCTCTATCTGGCTGGCTCATCAAATTTATCCAAATAAAAGGGTTTTTGTTTGCTTGCTTGCTTACAGCAGGAATGCAGAGTGTGACTCAATTGCCAGACAACACCTTCCAAGCTAGTGTGTTGACTGCAAGGAAATATTTTCACTCAAGTGCTCCAAGAGCAAATTCAAGCTGTGGGCAAAAAGCGAGTCCTCGTCTCCCCAATCATACACTTCCCCCATCCCATCTGCCCGGCCACCTTCTCTCCTGTACCAGCAGGTCTACCAATGCTTATAAGTCCTGTTTTGATTGAAGGCTGCATGACTATGACAAATCATTACATGCAACACACTTCCTCACATACTCTTTTTACCCTTGCTTGTACCATTGGTAAAAGCAGTCCTCAGAGGTTAAATGAAAGGAACTTCTTCACACAACGCAAAATTACGGTAATCTGTGGAATTCATTCCCCCACAAAGCACCGCTGGCTGCTATCTCTTGATTGCTTTACAAAGGCCATGGTAGCTCCCCCACCTGAGTGCAAAGAAAGCCAAGGCTCTAGGGATGGGGAATCTGTGACCCCCCAGAAGCTGTAGGACTCCAACTTCCATCAGCCCAGCATAGCCAATGGCCAAGGATTATGAGAGATGTACTGTAGTCTAACAACATCTGGAGGGCCACAGGTCGCCTATCCCTGTCGCATCCTTTGGAGTACCTCATGCTGAAAATGCACAAAGAAAGGCTATTGCCTCCACGTCCTGCTGGAATTTCCAAAGAAATCATGCTGGGACCAGACCAGATGGAGCTTTGTTCTCATCTACAAATCTTTTTCTTATATTCTTGAAAGGAAGCATGTGTCTTTTCTCCCTTCCCTCTTCAAGTCAAAGGCTAAGTAGTCCCTGCTGCACCATTCCAACAGGATTGCCAAGCTGGTCTTAAAAAACTCCTCTAACAGCTGCAATGTTATAGTGGTCCCTGAAGACTCTCACACCATTTAGCAAGGCATTTGCACCCAATTCTCTCCCCCTCTCCCCTCCTGCAGCATGTACAAAATTACCTCCCCCGAAGATATATGGGGAATAGGATTTTGCACTACTTCTGAGTGTTCGGTCCAGAGATGTGTGTTTTTAATACCAAGAAATAAAATTGCTAGGTTGGACATCTGAATAAGCCCCCCCAAAAGCCAGAACGACACACAGAGCAGGATTCAGATAATGAGTTGCACTAATGGAAGCCAACACAAGGGTTCCCCCTAGCACAGCAAGGCTTCCCCCCAAAAATAAATTGACTCAGTGTGTGTGCGCACACATGCGCCAGGGGAACCCACAGAACAGTGTGTGGGTGTAGGAGAGAGCAGACTACAAGTGCTTCTGGGGTGAGGTGGAGTGGAATGGGGAGAGTAGCTTCTCCAGGGCATCATCATCCTACATGGAGAAGCAGCTGTTTACAAGGGTGGAGTCTTGGTTTTCTCTGGGAGACATCCTATTATTTCTTAATGTGCTCTTTAAAACAACTTTAAGGAATGGAACAGGTCCAAGTCCAACTACCAAAAGGTAAATAAAACACAGACGGCAATATACGTCATGCAGGCTTCAAAACAAGCATCCTTCCAATTGCTTTTGTGTGGCAGATTCAGCTCAATGCAGGTACTCCCAGGGGTCAATTGCACTAAAATGTTGGCAGCAGGGCTGCAGCTAAGGAATGGATGGGCAAGTAACTTTGCTCTCAGTATTTTAGGAGCAAACGTGGACCCTTAACACCATCACAGCTAGAGTGCTCCCAGATACCCTGTATGGAACCAGTTTCATGATGTATGAAAATGCACATCAGTTACTACAATGGTTTGCTGAATCCCTGTTTAGACCTGTATGGCCCAGCTAATTGTCTTGTGCATCCTGACAGGGGATGAACAAGTTGGCCTTTTTCCCCACATTGTTTGCGCCTTGCCTCCCATGGGGGGAAGCCATCCCATTTCCCAGCCCCCAATCAGCCGGCAGGATGGCGTGTTTGTTCCTGCTTGTTGCTTCTCAGAAACATAGCCACAATAGTCCTACCCGATGCTCCTTCCAGCAGTGGAGACAGAAAGCGAAAGATCCACCTTGTTGACTAAGGGTGGCCTGGTACAGTGGTTGCAGCAAGAAGACTGGAAGACAAGACTGCCATAAGCATCACTGCGGCCCCTCAAAGGGTGGGCATCTGACACATCCCTGCTAACTTGATTCTAAGGTGGGGGGAGAATTGGTATGTACCTGGGAAGGGGGGAGCAACTCCTTCCAATACCACATGACCAGAGCATTCAAGGGCCTACACGGCTTACTAGGAGCTGTAGAATCTCAGAGTGCCCATTAAAATGAAATTGCTGGCTGCACACAGTGCAGCATCTGGTTCCACTTCACATGAAGGCCCATTTCCAACCCAGCCCTCACCAACCCGTTTAATATTTGGACTGCTCCAAGCAAGGAGATTTAGAAATATTTGGAAACACACATAACACAGGGCAGAAACTGAATGACTACTTCGAAGTTCTTTGCTCTCACTCCAGAGGCAGACCCCTAGCAAACGAGACATATTATTCTTATGTTGTTTCTCTGACAGGACTCAAGCATAGAGACCCCCCCAGGAAAAAGTTGCACCTGGCCATGAAGTTAGGGTACTGCAGTTGTTTTACTGGGTATTTCTCTGGGTAGTTTCCTTTTTCCCAATGTGCCATCTGCAACCCCTCTTTTGAGGTAATTGCTACACACACCTGCTCACTTCTCCCTCAGCAGCAACCAGAGAACCGTCTTGCTTACCCAGATCTGCAACACCACCCTAACCGGCTGGGTCCCAACTTCCGCATCCTACCATTTCCTCCACAGAGGAAGTTTTATTTTTTGTCCGTGTCAGCCAAGAGATGGGATAAGCCGGAACTCCACTTGTGGGCACTCTGCACCTCCCTTCCCCACAACAAGCCCCTTAAGCACACATGCAGGCAAAAAGCAATTTAGTAATGTCAATATATTTTTATCTTAAAGATGCTTTACACATAGAATACAAAAATATGCCCAAGGAGAATGTGGTGCCTGGTCTACCCACAAGGCTTCCGGTGCCAGGGCACAGGAAGGCAGCAAGGCTTGGCAGAAACCTCACCCACTCTGAGCATGAGGTGTGGGTCCCGAGGGCAACTAGGCTCCACATCCTACTTGGGGTTAGTGTCTTAAAGAGATACAGTAGGTGGATTGGGGCTGTGAGGTGTAACTGAAGAGGAAGGGGGCCTTCATGGCTCCTAGGGTGACCAGACAGTGCCTGAACTACAGTATTGGGATACAGTACAGGGAAGAGGCCCAACATTTGGGGGGGGGTGTGCGCGTGTAGTGTCAGTGGGAGAATATCAATAATTTAACAGAGGCAGCTTTTCAGGCATTATTAACTGGGCCACCCTGGGAGGTAGGTCAGTATGACAATGTTGGACAGATTAGTCAAAGACAGATCTCGACAAGGACATGCCCAAACTCAGACCGCAAGGAGAACCTGCTGCTGTTGCTGCTTGTGATTTTGCTGCCCTCTGGGAACGTCCCCAGTGCCAAGCAGTATCACCCTGAGCAGAGGAGTTCCCCAGAACCAGTCCAGTAAGGGAATATTCCCAGCAGTAATTGGGACGGGGGAATGCCACTGGTGTGACAGGCTCAGCAATGGCTCATCGCCAGTGAGACACATGGGACGACAATCTTTGTACTATCCACAAAGTGAGTAACTGGGGGCAAGAAGCTCAGCTGCAGATGGGGGATGGCGGTTAAAGAGGAGGTGGGCTTTTAAACCACGCTTCGCTCTGGGGAAGTGGTTGGGGGCAGGACAAGCCAGATCCATTGGGGGAGGGGGAGTGGCTGGCTATACAGCCTTGTGTCTCTGCTGCCAGCTGTTCTCAGCCATGCCCAACCAAAGGAAGCTTGAGACTGCCACTCAAAATGGATTCAACAGCTGATGATGGGGCCGGCAGAGGCAGGCTTTGTTAGGAAGGGTAGGACCAGCAGCTGAAACTCAGCTGGAAGGGCTGCCTAGCCACATGGAAGGAAAGGATCTCTCTAGGAAACAAGATTGGGGTCGGGCACCTTATTTCCTCCACCAGTTGTTGTTTTTTTTACCTTGTGATCTGATGCTCTCTAATTTCTGAGTGCCTCTCTTGCATTTACTACCCAAAGCCAAGCTACGAGGATCAAGCAAGAGAGAGCAGCTATGAAACGAGGTCCACCTGTGGCAAGAGAAACAGCTTCCCAGTGCATATCGTACCAAAATGGATTGGAGCTGGACCAGCAGAGGATGTTCATGCTGGAAAAGAGGGATGAGTGTGTGTACCCTCTTAGCCTATCCAGAGCAGATATGCACAGTGAGGAGCTTTTGCCGCACCTGCCCACCCATCCAAATGGTTGTGTCAGGGCTGTCCAAACCCATCCGAGCTCACCCCAGCCTCATCCGTCGCCCGAGAGTGCCTGTGAGATTCCCCCCCAGACTAACTGCCTATCAGGATGCCTGCATATCCTCGTTCAAGGATAGGCCTGGAAACCAGCAAGGAGCAGTTGCATCTCCCTGAGAACAGCAAACTGTATGAGCAGAGTGGCAGAAGCCAAGAACTGGCAGCAAGGGACTCCTAGCAGACTGTGTTCAGGTCTGAGGGAGCCTCATGCACAAAGAGGTGGTCAGCAGCAGTGATTCTGGCCCCCATTCACATTACACTCCAGTCATTAATGCAGGTGACTTATTGCTTGAGGGCCTCTCCAGCCCCTAGGGAAAGGAGGCAGGTGTGGCCCAGCATCGAAGTGAGGGCACAGTGGTGTGCCAGGCCCACCAGTGGCCTGCCTAGTAGTCCTGCCTGCAGGGTCCAGCAGAGGGCGCAGAGTCCTAGTAGCGCCCAACCTTGGCGTCGCCAATCGCTCCCCAGACGTCGAAGACAAACTCGTCGGGGAAGGCAAAGTCCCCCAGCTGCTCGTCCAGGGACTCAGCAAATTCGTCAGGATTCCGTTTGTCCTTTCCCAGCTCCACCATGGTAGCAGCTATGTGGGGGAAAGGAAAGAAAGCCAGAGGTGAGCATCTGCTCCACACCCCAAACAGCTCACAAGCCAACACAACAACTGAGACAGAGGCACAGGGAGAGCCTCACATTGGCTCCCATTCCAGCATTGGAAAGGTGTGCAAATCAAGGGGAGATGCCAGCATCTACAGGGAGGCTCCAGTCTCTTAACTAGTTTGCTTTGGGTGGTTTATTTCCAGATTAAAAGAGGAAAGGTAGCAGCAACTCACCTAGCTCTGTGTCACGGATGCCCATGTAACTCTCCAAAAGATCATCAACCTTCTCGATGGCCTTTTCCTCAAATGCAGATGGCTGTGAAGAGGAAGAACACAACGACTGAAGCAGCAACAATGTCTGTTTTCCTCTCTATTAACTTGAGGGGTGGCAGCTGCAACTTGGCTACGGCTACTAGCTGAAAGGGCCAATGGGTCTAATGCAGAAGAAAATGGCTGCAATGTGGCTGAAGAATTTTGGTAGAGATTGGAGAGTGGGAAACTCTAGAGCTGGTTATCCGGGGCCCAGGTGTGGCTCCGTGTCTTCAGAAGACGCATGAAGGCTGTGAGGAAGAGTACCAACCCAGGGCTGCGTGTATCAGCTGGACTATCCCTCTTGCCACCAATACCGTCATAACATCCCTTTACTTCTCTGGTCTGCACAATAACTTGAAGGAGAAGCAGGGAGGAGGAGATGAGAGAAACAGCAGGAGAGATGCCTGCTCCTTTCCCCCCCTCCTCTAAAACCACACCACAAGGAAGAGCTCAGGGGCAGGGGGAAATATGCTGCTGAGCATCCCTCTCACCAGAGGGGGATGGATTTGTGGACACCTGCTCTAAACCAGTCTTGGAAAAAAGTGGAGCAGGGCAGAGCTGCCCATCCTTCTGCTCTACATTTCTGGGCTTGCTGAACACAAACCTGTTCCTCCACAGTGGCTGGTCCTTTGGCCCGAAGCCGCAGAGTGCCCCTTCCTGTGCCAAGCTGAGCGCTCCCGCTGTGTTTGCCTCCTGCAGACCGCTGACTGATCATATCTGGAACAGAGCAAGAAAAAAGCCTGGTGAGCTTTTTTGCAGAGTCTGCACACTGGTGGTCCCAGCTTAGAAACAAGCCCAACAGAATGTTTTCCACACGCAGTGACTGCATGAAAAAGAAGCATGAAAAAGAAACACACAGTTTTCAGCATGTTACTACTGACCCACATTTTAAGGCGGTTTGCAGTCACCTGCCAAAAGCACAGAGGTGAAGGTCCATGCATGTACGGGAAGTTCACAGAGAAGTGCTTCAAGCTCAAAGTCAAAAGGCAAAAATGTTTTCCACGACTACCACACATTGTGAAGCGGTCATGAAGCAGTTGGCATATCTAGAGAACACCATTTCGCTCAAGTCCAATTCCAAGCAAGTGACACCCAGCCAGTATCAGTGACTGTTTGTCAAAGTACAAGAATGATACCACTTTAAAAAGCAATAGTTGGGTGAGGGCAATAATTCCAAAAGGAGAACTCTAGGAAGAAACGCATTTTAGTATGCCAAGTGCACAGATAGGTAAGCGGGATGTCAGTGGAACTGGGGAGGATATGATGTGTGGGGCAGAGATTGAGAAAGAAAGGGCAGAGATTGAGAGAGACATTCAAGAAATGGTGTAGGCAATAGCAATGGTGAGGACAATCTTTCCACAGTGGAAGCTAACATGGGAGTGATGGCAAGCAGACCACTATGAAGCAAGCTTAGGAAATGCCATTCTATATGCCAGACTATCTATCTATCTATCCCCCCAAAACACATCAGGCCCATTTCCTTCTCACATCCCAATGCTCAAATAAAACAAAAAAGACATCTTCTCAGCAGCAGCTCCCATGCCGGCAGATGTCATATTTCCATAGCCCTTGCCAGAACTGCACCTTCTGAGTCTACGTGCTTCTCGAGGCACTGTTAATTTCAGCCGAAGAATCAATTAAAGCCCCTAGGGAGAGGGAATTAGTTCTGTTAGATCCATGGCCTGCCAAGGGGTCAACGCCTCTGCAGCACCGAGTTCCCAGATAGAGGAAAGGGGAAAGGGGAAGTGGAGGGGGGTAAAGTCTAGCACTGCAGGACAGTCTGAATTAGACATTCTTTCTAAAGGCAAGAATAGAAAGAGTGATGTTGGAAGAAGCCAGCTGTGTCAACACCAAGGGGGAGATGCAGGGCAAGAACAGGAGCAGAGGGAGCAAACTTACAAGAACTCTACCCCAACAAGGTAAGCATAATCAAAAACAAGATAGTGATAACAGAGCTATGTTGGGCAGAGGAGATGCAGAGGGCCATTTCACATGTAGCATAAGAGCAGCTAATTCGGGGTTTGTACCAATGTGTCAAGTGACACCTTTCCACGCTTTCAGGTTATTGTTGAACATACTGCCTATGGCAGGGGCAGGGGACCTATAGCTTTCCAGAAGTTGATGGATTACAACTCTCACTGATCCCTATCCCTGACCACTGCTCACACTGGCCATGGCTGATGGGGATTGCAGGGCAGCAGCAGGCAGAGGGGAACAAGTTCTACAAGTTCCTACGAGGAGATCTGTGAGCTCCTAATCCAAAATACAGACTGTTCTCTTCACATTATACCTGGAAACATGGAAAGGAAAACCGCAAGGCGGTCCCCTGTCTTTCTCTCACACACCCTCAGCTCCAGTCCCTCAGCAGCCTGCAGTGGACACTGTGGAAGAATTCAGCACTGCGCTGAGCTGATCATTCCACTGGCACAAGCATCACAGCTGGCAAGTGGAATGAGTCCCTCCTCTCCTCCCCCTACACACAGTTCTGGGGGGTTCTCCTGACCTCCTTCTCAAGCCAACTGAAGAGGCTATGCGGGGAGGAGAGAGGGGAAAGCCCTTCTACGCAAGCCGAAGTCCTAGCACAGGGCTTCTGCTGATGGGACCTGCTAGGTGGCTCCCATCCTGTGCATCCAACCACAGTACAAACAGGATGGGCATTTCTTTCCCTGCCAGTATTTTACCTCTGCCAAGGTTTTGTACAAATTCTGCAAGCTTGAGAAAGCAGTCTTTGCTCACTTCCTCTGAACAGTGCATGAAGGTGGTGAAACCATCAGCCACAATGTCCTAATCTCCCTGCCATTTCCTGACTTCAGCAATTGCTTTGGGCCCCTGTTGCCATCACTGGTTTGTGGTGGTTCATCGAGTACCTGATAAGGAGGTTTGGCTGACTGAGCAGTTCTTTACACAGATGCAACTGTCTGGTCTGTTGCTGATCTGGATGCTTCCTTCCCTGTAGCTTATGTTCATACCGCTTATAAACTTATTCTCTAACCTCCAAACAGACTGTAGCTGCAGGAGCCTTTTCCTTAAATCAGCAACATTATCCAAAGCACTCTCGCCACTTACAAGCAGTAACAGAAAGGCCACTGCATATAGCGGGCCCTTTCTGTATAGTTTACAGTAGAAATGCACAAGGTAATATTTTATCTCAGACACTTTGCATTTTTGCCTACAGAACATTGTGTTGAACTGCATGAACAGAGGGTCTATGGCAGATCTGATGACATTAACACAGGACACTTTATGGAGGGACATGGAAAGTATCAATTCTATAATGAAGCACTTAATAGGATTAGCCAACTAAACTGGCTGGGGACAATAGGGAATTTTGTCCAAAACATCTGGAGGGCACTAGGTTGGGGAAGGCTTTCATGAAATCGAAGTACCACTCTTTTTCACAATCAATTAATGGAAGGGTGATGAATGGTGCAAAAGAATGCAGAACTGCAGTGATATCCTCCCAAACCCAGCATATGATCTGAGTCTATCAGCAGGAATGCAGTGCTTAGAAATGGAAAACTTCTGCCAAGCTAATTCCCCCCTGTATATTCTGTGGTATACACTGGCCTAGTTGAATAAGCTCAAAAGTCCACGCAGATTTCCTGCCCAAAGGAACTAAAAATCACTTCATATTAGATCAAATCATTGCTTAAAATCTCTGTCATAACAGAAGTGTGCAATGACATGGGGGCAGCTTTGAGAAAGGAATTAAAACAAGTGATGAGGCTTTCAAATTTGCTTTGTTCTCTGAAGCCAGATGCCCAACACAACTAATTGGTGGGAGGCAGCCTCCAATCCAGTGTGTGGTCCTGGAAAAGTAACTGGCAGGTTAAAGCCCTGGCTGGGAATGGAAGAACACAATATTCTAAGAATGTCGCTGGGATGAAGCATTGACTTCCTTTGTCATGACGATTAGTCTGCCAGCTAATAAGGCAGATGCGTGCACGAGAGTGGTCACGTGCTTCTGCATAAGCATAATCAAGAAGAAATGGCCAAGCTTTGGGCAGCAGAGTGTGAGTGTCTCCCATTAATTTAATGAGGACTACATTCATGTTCCAGGCTAGAGCGGGTCTTTCCAACTGGAGGACAGGCTTCAACAGCCACTTCTATAGAAAACTTTAGTTAATTGCCAGAGGAGAAAGAAATGCTTTTGTTATCGACGTGAGAAGCCACTGCAACATATACTTTCAATGCAGTAACTCAGACACTTAATAAGTAAGAAACAGAGATTCCAAAAGAGGCAGTGAGAGGCAGCTCTGGAGCAAAAGCTTAGCACCTCTTCTACATGCTCCTAGCTCTTCATTTATAAAGGAACAACTTAGGTTTTCTATAGTTCACTATAATTGCCTGCATTCATAATGAGAGATTGTGCAGTCATTCTTCTATCAGCCAGACAGGTAGAGCAATTCCTGATTTGCATGAGAGGCCAGGCCAGCACTCTATGGCGGCCTTCCCTAAACTGGTGCTCTCCATGTTTTGGACTACAATTCCCATAATCCCTGACCACTGGCCAGGGCTCATGCCATGGGAGTTGCAGTTCAAAACATACAGATGGCAGCAGGTTGGTCTAGCTAGCTCAGAAGTGTCCACACCATGAGCAAGGAGCCTTTTTAAGGTCAAAGGCTGTATAGCCAGCCTTTGGGTAATCTTGTGGGGCTGCATTCCAAAGCCAAATGTTGGCAGAGCCAAAGCCAAAGCTACTTTTGATCAGCCATACTCAGTCATGTAGATCTCCCTCCTGAGCTATCTCCACTCCATGCTTCTCTCTCTTCCCTTGCATAGGAATTTGGCTTATAAACAGATCCAATTTGTGTTCATGGAACTTTTTCTTCCTAATGGCCACACAAGGGGGCAAATGCCATGAATGGGCAAGGCAGAATGAGCCATTCTTACCAACTCCTCAAATATCACACACTCTTATGTGGTCACAAAGACTTTACGGGAAACATCTGCACTGCAGGCTGCTGGTTCTTCACCATGATCCAGGCTGACTGAGAGGAGGTTCTCCAAGGCTGCAAACAAGGGTCCTTCCCAGCCCTCACTGGAGATGCCCAAGCATGCAAATCTTGTGGTCTACCACCAAACTGAGATCCTTCTCTAAAACTAGAGGAAGATTGCACAGGCCAGTATTCTTCTCTTCGAGAAAGTAACTCCTCCCTTTTTGCCACATACATCAGCACACTTCGTGCTTGTGTCACACCAATGTGATTCATCCGGTGCTTCAATACATTGCTCTCAAGGACCTGCCAGGTTGTTCCACAACACACACATGTGCTCCTTCCTTGTTTATGTGCACACAGCTGTGGTGTTGTCTGTAATTATAACCAGAGTTTTCTCCAGGGGCAGCTAAAGACATGTAACGCCAGATGGCCGATACGTATTTTCTTGAGGTGCCTCATCTCCAGTGGCCTTGGCTCCTCATGGTGCATCAGCCCGGCCACCCTAAAGTGGTGGCAGCACTGGCAAGACAGATTAATAGTGCTTTTCTGAAACTATACTTCTTGATTGTATCGACAGACATGTTGATTGGGAATAGGCTCTACAGATCAATTGGCAAACTGCAAGAAGAGGAACCCAGTACTCTGCCCCTGCCGTCAGTGAAGTCAGCCTTCTCCTATGCCTTATCACATAATCCCAGTGTCAGAGCTGCAAGGAGGCATGGTACAAATTGTACAATCTAGGCAACCGCTCTCTAGTTAACAAGGACAGAGGAGCCCCATGTCCAGCAAGCTGGGGTTTGCAGAGTTCAGTAATCCAGAGAAAAACAACTGCCTGCTCACGACATCCTGGCACCATCCCCAGCAGCAGCTGCCTGGCTCCTCCAAGCCTCCAGCATTCCACTATCCTCCAAGTGCAAATTAGCACATTATGGGCTGTGGCTGTGCCAGGTTTAAGATCAGAAAAGGCTGTAATCTTGGCGGCAGACTGCCCTTAGACATTGTGATGGGCTTGGGCTGAACTCAAACGTATGGCACAATTAAAGAGCCACGCGACAGACAATAACTGGCAAGGCTAACCTTGAACACCAACTTTGAGAACCGACATGCTGCCTGTAGGAAAGACCAGGATGCAGACCTAGCAATGGGACCTCTCTATATCCTGCCTCCCTGCGTTTTATGATGCTGGGCAGACTTGCACAGGTGCTGTGGTCTCCAAACTGCCCCACTGGCTTTCACATGGGGACAGACATGAGAATGAGTTTTTCTCTGCTGCAGCAGCTCTTGCTTTGCATTCCCTTCCTGAGGAGTACACTTGGCCACAGAGAAGAGGTGCTCTCAGTTAAGAAGCAAAGGGCAAAGGATTTACACAGACTGCTCTCCTACCCATAATTTACAAGCAACAGTTTCTAACACATACATACACAAAATAGGGAAAAACAACATTCACTCAGGTCCAATTCCACTGCTTCATGCAGCCAGCATTAGGTTATACACAGACCCTACATGGGCCTCCTCAACTGCTGAGAGTCTGCTTACAGCTCCCTACGGCGGAGCTGGGAATGCAAAGACAGAAGCAGTACACATAAAATGCTCGGTTGTTCTATCTGGTCTGGCAGGGACATGTGTTTGGCCAGAAGCTAGGTACTATCCCCAGATGTTCCTGGCCCTGTTCTCTGTAGGTTTCCTGCCTCTGCCCTTTCAGCTCCATTGCGGGGACATTCCAAGGAATGATACAACCCTAACTGGGCGACAAAGCCTCATAGTATTCTTGGCTGGCCCCTGCCTTTAGACTTGGCTAGGTGTCCAGACGCCAACAACCTTTTCATCACCTTCATTCTGAAGAGCAATGAGAGCCATTGAAATAGCTAATCTGAAAGGGGTGGGGTGGGGACACACACACAGCAATTCAGAGGAGCCCATCAATGTAGACCGTGCATCAAACAACCAGCTAAAATACCAATGAAAAGGAACAGAAAAGCAGTAGGACCAAAGTGCACACACAGAACGAGGGCATGGAGAGAAAGTATTGATTTCCCAAGACTAAGACTGTTCACCCTGAACCCCAATTTTATTCGCTTAGGGACAATTCTAGCAGTGCCCCCCCCATCATATTTCTGTTATAGTGGGAGGACTGCAGTCATTGGCCTTTACCAAAAAGACCAACTAGAAAGATAAAGAGCAAGGGAAGTGCAGCTCCAGGAGATTCTTTCATTGCTCCAACATAAAGGGTCAATGTCTAAACAAATATGTGATGTGAGATTGATGAAAGTGTTTAAGGATGGAACCTGGCAGTTAGCAGGCAATAGCTCAAATTGGTTTACGGCATGAGTGGAAAGAACATTTGTGGATTTCTGGGAAAGGGACCTCTGCTTCAGGGTGAGCCCATGAGGACCGTATAGTCCCACATATTGGTAGAGAAATGAAAAATTCCACAATGTAGACCAAGCCATAACCAAGGGTCCAGCTAACACATTTGATTGCATCAAGAATTGGCACCTGGATAATTTTTTTAATGGCCATTTTATTTTTACATCAAAATGCTAGTCAGTGGCCTGTTTATTTCTCTTACAACATTAAATTCAAAACAAGTAGATCCCAGAAGTATTAGAGGGAAAGTTATAAAGATGTCAGGATACGAAATTTTGCTGGAGCTTATTCATACTATTAGGCCATCTTGACAGTGACTTTGCTGTCGATTTATTATCTGCAGCAAAAATACTTTGGTGTTATTATTGTAAAATATATATTTTCTGGACATGTGGCTGGTTGTCAAAGAGTTTATGCCCTAACTCATACAGTTATGTGAAGGCAGACAACAAAATGAGTTCAAATGGTAGCTGATATCTCTCTCTGAAGAAGTATAGGTAGCAATGCTGTACTGAAGAAAAATCCCAAAATCCTTATTAAGGCAATACCTTTATTAGGCCAAGCAAACTATCACAAGATAGCAGTCAAATTTTCTAGTTCTGCAGAACTCTTCATCTAAGCGGTCAACAAAGCAAGAAAGAAGAGGAAAATAAAATGTCACTGTCCTAAGACAGACAGAGAGGGGCTAACAGACATTCAAATGAGGTTCTTTTAGGGACTATACAAGTATTGGCTTGCACCAAGTCTTACTGGGAAGAAGAACCGGTTTGTTCGCTATGGTTCCAAGTTGTTGGAACCAAGTTGCTGTCTCACTGGCAAATCCCAAAAGCAAAAGCCCTGTTTCTGGAACCAATGAATCATTCCACAGCTCAGCTCTCCTAACCTGTGAAATACCTGTGCAGGTTAAAGAGCAACATTGCTTTCATTGGTTGCTTTCAAAATGATCCAGTGTCTAGGCAATAAATGGAGCCCCATTTTGGGATGACTTGGTGGTTCCAAAAATTAACAGGAAAAATTGTTCTACTGGAAAAGCGCTAATTCTGTTTCTCTCTTTCTCTGTGTTTCTTCTCCTCACCCCCCGCTGGCCAGCCAGCTTAGCAAAGAACATCATTCACATCCAAGTATTGCATGATGGGGAGGAGGGAATCAGTGCGACCATTCCTGAAGCACTAACAAATATTAATCCAGCAGAGGAGATGAAAGTGAAGAACAAACACACACACAACAGCCACAGCCAAGGAAGGAATAACTTGGAAAGTGGAAAATCATCCTTCCCAGAACTGTCTGGTGAGTCACTCAAGGAGGAAGAAACTTGCAGTGGCAGAGGCAGACTGAAATGATGGATAAGCTGTGTTGCAAACACAGCAGGGAATGCAATGCATTTAGAAACTGGAACTGCTCATGACTTATTCTGGGTAACACGAAGAAGCATTAAGCATAGCGGATGCACCGCAGACACAGAACTCCAAGGTGCAGTTATTACCCAGCAATGTGATCTTAGGCTCTCTCTGCTAAGTAGAACACTACAGGCGCAGGGAGGTTACTTAGTACCAGGATTCAAAGACATCCTGTATGGCAACCAGCCTAATGCACCAGCCACAGAGGAATATAATGACAGCACAAGGCTCTGACCAAAAGGGAGCTGGATCCTACCCAGAACACAGTTGTTAAGAGCAGGAGTCTTCAACATGCAGGAGATAAAATGAAAAACTGAGCTTTGTGTATTCGACATGGAGCTTCCTGCCCACCTTCTCTCAAGGGTCAGGGAAGTCCAGCCCCAAGTTTTGCTCCACAAACCTCTCACTTCCTCAGTTCTCCTCTGGGTCACTTAAGACTATCCTGCTTCTCCCTCCCCATCATGGATAACCTTCCCATTTTATACTGACTAAGTGCAGGATCCCTCCTCTAGAGACCTAGCAAAGCTTCTGGATAGAGAAGGGAAACCCACCCCACTCTGCGCTCACTTGAGCCAACACTGAGAAAAATTGCTGCTCCATTCAGATACCAGTTCTGCTCTCCCAAAGCTAGCTATTCCACCCTACTAAATGGCAAGAGCCACTCTCTCTGCCTGCCTAGGAAGAGGATGTGTAAAAAGAGTTTCTTCCACCCAGCAGAGATTTGGCTCAGGGTAGAGAATGCTATTGAGCTGGTGCCACCCTGACCTCTGCTGGCGAGAGAAGACTGCAGCACCACAATTTCAAACGAGGGCTGCCTCTGCAGGGGTTTTCTCCCAATACCAAAGTTACTTGTGTGCAGTATATATTTTGTTAATGCATGTGAGAGAGATTTTAAACTAAATGTATATCCAGGTTTTGCCAGCACATTCCAAATCCCAGAACTGCACATGTGAAAACTCCCTCAACCACAATGTAAATTATATGGTGCAGGTGCTTAACGAAGCTCCTGTGCCACATTTGTGCAAGCTTGTTAGAATCCTGAAAACTGCAGATATCCATTATTAGGAAGCTGCTATGCTCTGGTGACCAACTGCTTGACTACTGCTATAAGTTCTTTGTAGGGCAGCCCCTGAAGATGATCTGGAGGCTGCAGCTCATGCAGAACATGGCTCTTGGGTTGGTAAATGGGGTAGCCTGATGGGACGATGGGGCTGTGTGTGAACTACCAGGTCTAACATACTAGCATTCAAAACCCTAAACAGCTTGGGACCCAAGTACCTAAAAAAGCACCTTCAATTACCAACCATATTGAGACTACGATTGACAGAGTCACCAGTGGGGACTGGCAGAGACTTGTAATGGGGCCTTCTCAGTGGTGGTTCCTCATTTGTGCAATGCCCTCCCTAGGAAGGTGCAGCTGCCTCCTTCATTATTAATTTTCAGGAGGAATTTTAGAAACATTCCTTTTTACGCAGGCATTTTATGACTAAAAGATAGTGTTAACCCTGAAATTATGAGCTGCGAGAGTAGGTGATTGTTTTAAACTATTTTTTAGAAACTCTTAACTGTATTGTTTAACTACTGACACATTTGCCACCCTGGGTTCCTTTGGGAGGGAGGTGAAGATATAAGCCTAATAAATAATAATACAGTTGGAAGAGATATTTGAAAACAGTAGTTGCTCAAGATAAGTAAAGATGAAAGGAGGCAAGTAACATGAAGCCCAAACTTACTCATTTTCTGAAGAACTTTACTGAAAAGTATCCCATGTTTTGTTTTGTTAATACAAAATCAGTGCACAGAACTAGTGCAATTTATGTCTCAGCTGTGGCTTGAACCTTCGCCATGCTCGTGAAACCAATGTGCAAATTAGGTCAATTACAAACAACTGTCTGGGCATGAGGCCACAGCTAATTTGAATAAGAGTCCTTTCTACAAAAATAGTATGTCCAGTCTGCTGAAGACCGTGCAAGGCTGGTGCTGTAGCACCAGCGACATCTGTTGGCTGTGTTACAGCACAACTGCCAACCAGTGCCATAAACTTATTTATCATATTTCATGATATGAAATTTGGCTGTCATGCATGTCTCTGGTATGGGAAAACCAAAATATATAAAAGTTTCATGAACCATGTCATTGGGAGAAATTTGTATAGAGTCTGGGAGAAATGTAAAAATTTTTTGGAAAGAAAAACACCCTTATGGTTATTGCTAACCGAAGCAATTACAATTAAGACAATAAATATAGATAGACGGTGGAAATCCTTTTGAGACTTGTTGGACTTTTCAGGGTGAAAACTCAGATTGAAACCAATGGAAGAAGTAAGGGGCCAAGTTGCTGATTGGGTTACAGTATCATCAAATAAACAATATGTTTAAATTAGATAAGAAAAATAGCTTTTTGGACCAAAGCTCACAATTTGAAAGAGAGTTATTGACGAAAGAGAGTTATTGACAAATAAGGAAAAACTTTGGGATGCGGGTGGCGCTGTGGGTTAAACCACAGAGCCTAGGACTTGCTGATCAGAAGTTCGGCGGTTCGAATCCCCGTGACAGGGTGAGCTCCCGTTGCTCGGTCCCTGCTCCTGCCAACCTAGCAGTTCGAAAGCACGTCAAAGTGCAAGTAGATAAATAGGTACTGCTCTGGCGGGAAGGTAAACGGCGTTTCCGTGCACTGCTCTGGTTCGCCAGAAGCAGCTTAGTCATGCTGGCCACATGACCCGGAAGCTGTACACCGGCTCCCTCGGCCAATAAAGCGAGATGAGTGCAGCAACCCCAGAGTCAGTCACGACTGGACCTAATGGTCAGGGGTCCCTTTACCTTTTTAAGGAAAAACTACTGTCTAAAATATAAATTATTATTGGAGTGGGAAACAAAAGACAAGGTGGTTAAAGTGTCAATGACCCATTGGGCAATGGATATAGGGTACAATATAAAACTAAACCTCTTGGAGAAACTTTGGAAGAATGATTTGAAATTTACTGAATGCTACACACTGAAAGAGAACTATATGAAAATGATCCATAGATGGTATTTAACTCTGAGTAGACTGGCTAAGATGTATAATGCACAATCTGATTTGTGTTGGAAATGTAAAGAAGTAGAAGGAACCTTTTTTCCATATGTGTTGGGCATACAAAAAAGTTAAAAGTATATTGGGAAATGATATATAATGAGATGAAAAAAATGTTCAAAACAACTCCCCCCCCTCCCGAAACAGAAGCATTTCTCTTTGGAATTGTTCAGACAGAGGTTTGCAAGAGTCAGGAAAAAATTATTTACCATATATATGTAACAACAGTGGCTTGGATTTTGCTCGCCCAAAAATGGAAAGTGAGGGAGGTCCTTAGCAAGGAGGACTAGCAACTTATGATGATAGAATATACAGTTAGTAGGTCTAATAAGTAGAATAAGGGAGCAAGAAGAACAGGTATTTAAAGAGGAGTGGGAAATTTTTTGTCGAGTATATTGAAAACAATTGTGTACAGTTGAAAACGCTGGCAGTATTAAAGTAAATTCAACAGTATAATATATATTGAAATAATGTAAGATAGGAAAATAGAATTAGAGGCATAGATCAAAATATGCAGGAATGGTGGATAAGTTAAATGGCCCTTGGAAGGAGAGAGAGGACAATGAATGTATGGTATAATAAAAGATGTTTAATTTGAAATGCAAAATTTGAAAATTTAATTAAAAAATATATTAAATAAATAAACTTATTTTCTGGGCTGTATACATTCACAGCACTTGAAAAATAATTCTGCATGCACACAATTTAAATTCTGTGGCAAGAAAAATGGGCTGTATAAATAATGCAATCTTGCACAATGTATTCTGGATTTGATAGTCATTTGGAGTGGCAGGGGATGGGGAGGGGAGGAAGAGAGAAGAGGAGGAGGAGGAGGAGGAGGCAGGGCATCAAAGTCCTCTCTAGCTACTCAAAATCTTATTCTGCCACCTATCTTGATTTAGATTTCAGCAGGTGTTATCCACATATTATTGAGAATAGCCACCCATCCATAAGAAATAGAAAATTGCTTTCCCCCCTTTTTTTCTTTTAAAACGGTCCTCAGGAAGTTGAAGACTGACATAGAGTACACCTTCAAAGATAGCACACACTGCAAGAGGGCAAACTTCCCTTAACTCTAAGCTCAGGTGAGTCTGCTGCCAACTGAAACAGAGCCCAGCCTCTTCTCCGCTAATTCTTTGACACAAACAAACTGCATTTTGAATTAGAAGAAAGGTTCTGTGTTTCCCTGAGCTAGGTTCATACACATGATGGAAACTTCTCTGTGTGTCTGTATTGGGTGAAAAACGTACAATTTTGTCTTGCATGTCATGAGCAAAATGTGAACCATGTTTTGCTCAAAGTTCGGTTTAGAAGCTAACAGGAAACCAGCCTGCTGCAAGTAGAGAATTCAAACACACCCTTTGTCAACCTTCTCCTATTACACCAGGTGGTTGCCAAGTATTAAAACACTTCTTCCTTAGAGGAAGAGTCTATAAAACTGACTATAAAAGGTGCACAGAAACCAGAGGTTCTTTTTGATGAATTTTCTACTCTTAGACGTGTGCGTCGTAGAAACTTAGATCCTGCTTCCTACTCCAATGTGTGAGTTCCTGAAGAAAGTGTTTGGAATGTATGCCACTGAAAGAATCATGGATTGCCACAGGGAAAGCCAAAAGACAAGTCTGTGTCATTAGCCAAAGTGTACAAATGTTATTCATGCTGTGCTCTTGAAAACGAAGTCAGATATACCCTTACTTTTGGCTGGGAATCTGATAGGGAAATTGGCTTAAAAGCTCCAGTACAAAGGTAATCAAATTCTTTTTAACTTGATGCAATACCGAGGGCAAAACCAGATATTAGCTTGCACCTTCATTTTCTATGCCTAATCTGCACCTGCCACCTTATTGTAAAGTAAGACATCAACAGGTTAGCTGAAGTACCCTTGACATTTCGCTTGAGCACTGCATGCATGGAAGATTACATGCAACAGTCTGTGGGATGGTGATGCCCATGGCTGGCATACAGAGGGTTGGTCAAGAGGGAATGTTGCAGCCCTTGAGCAAAAAAAAGATGTTGCGCCCCAGGTTATTATAACTGAGAGGCAGTCTAAGAAATTGCAGTCCTCAAGCAAGGGAAGGCACAGATTTTCCTCCAGCAATTATGGAGTCCCTAGTTTTACCTCCCCTTTAACCAGTGGATTGGCTTGTAATGGAAACACGCCCCTGGGACTAACTGAATCTCCTTTCAGTGACCAGAAGGGCAGTCTCTAAAAGAGGGCAAAAGCCACCTCAATTACCTCTAGTCTTGTGAAAATAAAGTTCAGCTACGGTTGCTTTGAGAAACGGCACGCTGCCAACTCCCCATTTCTTGAATGATGTATTTTTATCTCCCCCCCCCTACACTTCCCAGCAATTCAGAGTGTACAGAATACTTACCAAAAGCCTTCCGGGGCTCAGTAAGCTTCAGTGTGAAAGTGCGGCCTTTGGGCAGGTCCTTGAGCATTTTGGCGACCTCATAATGCCGGCAGCCGATAAGACTCTGTCCATTGATAGACTCGATCATGTCCCCCACATTGATGACTTGGATCCGGTCAATAACACTCCCTTCCTTGATTCTCTGCCAACAACAGATGGGAACAGTCAAGATGCAAATACAGACCCAGTGTGAGAGAAAGTGTGGTGTAGTGGTTAAGACTCATAATCTGGTGAACCGGGTTCACGTCTCTGTTCCTCCACATGCAGCTGCTGGGTAACCTTGGGCTAGTCACACTTCTTTGAAGTCTCTCAGCCCCACTCACCTCACAGAGTGTTTGTTGTGGGGGAGGAAGGGAAAGGAGAATGTTAGCCGCTTTGAGACTCCTTCGGGTAGTGGTAAAGCGGGATATCAAATCCAAACTCTTCTTCTCTTCCTCAACCATTTCCTGACACTTCCCACCTCAAGAAGACATTGTGTCCAGAAATCAAGTGACAAACTATACGGCAACAGAGGCAGGCTCTCCATTCTAGCTTCACAACCATACCTTTATGATGGACAACTGTCAGCATTTCTACAGGGAAGGAAGCAAGTTGGTGAGAGAGAGGAAGAGTGAAGCTCATAATAAAGCAAGCCAATAGAAGAATCATTTTCATTGATGTTTCTTTTTTAACACCTGGTTATGACCAGACAACTAGTGTGCCAAGACCAACTCCTTGGTGAGTATTTTCCCACATGTATCACGTGCCTTTTAAGAATGTAGGAAAATCTCTACTGTCAGGCCTCCGAGTAGAGAAGACCATGTACCTCTGAGGAGTAAGAAGCCCAACGTTGTGTTTAGCATGTTTTAACTCCCCTGTCTCATGACCTTTCAGCCTTGGGATCCACCACAGCCTTAAACTATGTACATACAATGCTCACCCTGCTCCATTCTGCTCCAGTGCTGAGCCTGCAGCTTTTTTTCCTGAGGATTGTGACTCATAATTACACTTATATATTTAATTGACTCATGGTGGATGCAAACAGTAGCCTAACCAGTCTGGCATCCTGTTTCCAGCAGAAGCAATTGTCAAATACCTTGGAAAGAGGTATAACCCCACCTCACCAAGCAAAGTTATACTTCTGGAAGCAGTTTAGAAAAAGGAATAGTGCTTCTGGATCACCAAATAACCCACACATCAAGTCCAAGGAATAAGAGCCTTCTTCACACAAACCTGCAGATAATAAGCACCCTGAGTCTATCTCTTCCCTGATCCATGGTTCCTAGACAGACTGCCTGCATTGCACTGCAACAGGGTAGCAGCATTCGTTCCCTTACAGGTTTTGCCTTGCAAGAGTGGAGAATGCCCAGAACTACAAACTGAGTGTGAGACGTTGCCTGTGTATGTTTGTACTGCATGTGGAAATGTGCAGCAGAATCACTCTGGATTAAGCATGGAGAGGGGTTGCACGTGATTTATGATACAAGGAACCTATCAGGAAGTGTAGCCTCCCGAAGAGAAGTAGAAAAGGGGGAGGAGACCAGAATAAGGGAGAGTATTGCTAAGGAGAACAGACTTTGACTGCTTCTGAAACCGAAGCACGCCAGTACTGGCACGGAGAGGTTCTGAATACTGTTTCACAGGGTATTTAGGTAATGGTGAACCAATTTCTGTTTTAAAGCTGCTTAAAGAACTACAACAGCAAACCTTCACATTAAAAACAAACACTGCAGTGTTGTGCTGTTTTTGAAAGGGCAGGGACTCCCTCAGATCATCCTGTGATAATACACAGTCACTTCCTCCAGGACTGAGAAGCTGATGAACCCTGGGTGGAGACAGCAACTGTTTATTAAATACATAGCAGGTACTGTGACAGCTCTGCCCAATGCCACGTGAATATTTCCTTCTCTATCCAAAGATATCAAACTGCCACTAGTCTTACAGCTGCTTTACACCTCCTTGAGAAAGCACAGGTTGTGATGCTCCCAGGAAGTTCCAACTGCTCCAAGAGAAAACACCCATCTCAAGCAGAACCACAACTTCTTTTCTGCAAGAAAGCAGGAACAGGGCCATGTGGCAGGTGGTCTAAACTTATCTACTCCAGGAGAGAATGAGTGTTGCAATCTCATGCTCTTGCACATGCTCAGAACTGTGAAAGTAGAGCAGGCTCCAGTATTTTCCAGAATGTAACTAGCTAATCCCTAGTTTATGAACCAACCGGACGAAGGGAGCATAAGCAAGGGTACAAAGAGGATTGAGGCTCTTCCATCAGAGGTATAGCTCTGTTCCAAGCGTCTAAGAACATATAACCTAAAAAGTGGAATCCAATATTCCTGCAGAATCTGAGGAATCACGCACACACAAAAACAACAACAACACCACATGCACTTTTAAAGAAGGAAGAACAGAATAACTATTCTACTGGTAGTTAGAAAATGGAGTGGGGTTGGGTTAGTGTAGTCAGGTGGACAAGCTTCTGTATTCAGTAGTACTGGGGAAAATTTGTTGAATATTTGAAAAATCTAGGTATGCAAGTAAGTTCATTTGTAGGATTAACTTAAAACAAGCAGTTAAAAATATTATTGAGAAAAACAGAAAATTATCATAAAAATGGAGTAAAGTAGAAAATGCAGTGTGAAAAACTAAAATTAAGAAACCACAAAAGTGGGGGGGGGGGGAGTCAAATATGTAATTGTATTGGACGTATGTGTCTGTAGTGTGTCTGTTTGTAAATTTTTGAAAACTGAAAAATATTTTTTTTTAAAAAGTAACACCAAACTAAGGTTTGCAAACCAAACCAACTATAGTTTCACCTAGCTCACGGTATGTTGGCAGCAAATGAACTACTGTTAAGCCACTGAGCAGGATTCACGCATAATGCTAATCCATGCTTTTATAAACCATAAGCATTATGTGCTAACTTGTCCACTATGTAAATAATTACATTAATTCAGTTAGATTGAATATATTTCCACATAGCAGAATTTATGGTTTCTTATCATATTATTCAAATAATTTTAGCACAGACTTTAAAGAGAGTAAGAACACGAATGCTGGACAAGAGCAAAGATTTAGCAAGTGCAACTTCTTTTCCAACTTTAATAGCAATAAACCTCTGTTAGCTCCATCAACTGATATTCAGGGATACACTGCCTCAGTAAGTGAAGGTTTCATTTTGCTATTGTGGCTAATAGACTTGGGTTGTCCTATCTCATTTTAAAGCCATCCAAGTCAGTGGCCACCAGCCTATCTTGTGACAGCAAACTTTTCTTCTATCTCACTTGAATCTACTTCCAATTAATTTAACTGGGTGTCCTAAAGCATCTATAAAAGAAATTCTTATCTGCTTCCTCAAACTTTTATATAACCAAAAATCTCTTTATCATATCCTCCTTAGGTAAAGGTACCCCTGACCGTTAGGTCCAGTCGCGAACGACTCTGGGGTTGCAACTCGCTCTACAGGCTGAGGAAGCTGGCGTTTGTCCGCAGACAGCTTCCGGGTCATGTGGCCAGCATGACTAAGCCACTTCTGGTGAACCAGAGCAGCGCACGGAAACACTGTTTACCTTCCCGCCGGAGCGGTACCTATTTATCTACTTGCACTTTGACGGGCATTCGAACCACTGACCTTCAGATTGGCAAGCCCTAGGCTCTGTGGTCATCTTTTTTTCCTTAAAACCCCTCACCCCAAATGCTTAGCATTTCTAGACTACTTGGTTAATCAGGATTTTTCTGTTCAGACCCTAGAAGATAACCTGGTTATCATGTTTCATGTAGAAAAGGCCAGCAGGTGTGTTAGGGAGCCTTGTGCATTATACAATCACTTGGTACAGTAAAAGAATACATTCTCAGCCAGAGTGGGAAGGAAAAAAGGGTAATTGTTAGGAATGGGTGGGTTGGACTCCCTAGCTCCTGTAAGACACATTAGCTCCCAGAAAGGTTCAGATCAGGAAAGATTCGTAGCTCACAGTAGGAGGATTAGGGTAAGGACTGGGCTTAGTGCCCTCTTGGGAAGAAACCTCTGAAAGATAAAATAGCCTCCCTGAAGCTGATAGATTAGAAAGAACAATGGAAGCAACACAGTGGACCAAACAAAAAACAAAAAACCACACCCACAAAATGGAAGCCCCATACACCCTCCTTCAACAGCAGCAAGAATTCAGTAGGAGAGCAGCACAAGCTGAGCCTACCCAAAGATACCTTGATAAAAGCATAGCCAGCTCCGTTGTCCGTGATGGTCAGGCCCAAGGCTTCCTCAGATTTGAACACCTCAACCTCCTTCCTCTGGCCCTTTGTGTGGGCGAAGATGAAATCCTCTAGGCCAATCTGGCCACCCAACAGTTTTTCCATGTCCACTTTGTGGGTATTTAAGGTGCAGAACATCACCTAGATAATGGGAAAGTAGGCATGAGCACTTGACGTTACAGGCATCCTAACCGCTTTTAGAGATAGTACTCAAAGTGCACCAGTGGGGTCTGCTCCTTCAGTTCGAGAGGTAAGAGACCTGGAAGCTTTTGGCCACAGACCTCCAGCATAAGCTCCCAGATATTTACTTAAACACAGCCTCATGCCAATCCAAACTGTGGTTGACCCTGGCACCTGCCCCACCCAAGCTGAGTTAGCCATGCCATCCCCAACACTAAAGGAAAACATGATGATTGTGCCTACCTCGGCTGGTGAGATTTTAAAGGCCTCGGCAATTTTACTGTACAGTTCTTTGACATTGGTAAAGCCCTCGATCCGGCCAGTGGGGCTTCCATGGGCCAGCTGGGTGTGGAACACAAGTCGAGGGCGGAGACTGGCAGGGGGTGGGGGGAGGCCAGGCTGAAGTGCCCCGCCAACCACGCCAACGCTGCCTACCCCCAGCCCGCCCAGGCCACTGCGAATGGGCTCGGCTTCCTCATTCTCCACCAGCGGTGGGGCCTTCTTCCGTCGGCCTAGTCCAAGCGGCATGAGGGAGATGTGGCCAGTCAGCAGCGAGGGTCAGTCGCCCAAGGTATGGACCTAGGGGCACAAAGGAGAGCACACGGTGAAAAGGAGGAAATGGAAAAGGACAGGCAAGCCTCTGGAAAGATGCATTATCTTGAATTCTAGGGAGCACTTTTCCAACAAGGAAGAAAGGAAGCTGGACCAGAAACAGGTATAGAACTTAATATCACTAGACAACAGCAGTTCTCTATTTGTGCCATCAGGTCGGGTAGACACAGTTTATAAGTAAAGTAGTCTTGCAAATAAGATCGCAACAGAATCTTACTGGCTTGCCTGCTCACACCTATCTACGGTAGCCCCTTGTGGTAGCCTGAAAAGAGTGAAGAGCAAGGAAGGAAACAAAGCTTTCCCCCATTTATAAGCAATTCAATATTCCTGCGCAGCAGAGAGTTCGACTAGAAGACCCTTTGGCTCCATTCCAACTCTACGATTCTATGATTTCTCAGTTTGGCAAATGGCTTTGGGATATGTGTTTCTTCGGGACATTTTGCCTTGTTGTGGAAACTAGGGTTTTATCCAGGCAATCTATGTATGTACGCAGATCCCAACCACATCATGGCTTTTGCACAGAAGCGCCACAAGTTCCAACTCATAGGCACGAGACGGCAAACAACTACCGTGGGAGTTCTGTATCCCACTGGGCTTTGCTTGGGGAAAAGGGACGGCTGTAGCTCAGTGGCAGAGCATCTGCTCTATATGTGGAAGGACCCTAGTTCTATCACTGCTGTCTAAAGGCAGGGATGGGAAAGACTCGCAGCTTGAAACCCCATAGTGCTGCTGTCAGTCAGCGTAGAAATTACTGAGCTAGACCAATGGCATGACTTTGTAGGAGGTAGCTTCCTATGTTCCTGTGGAAATGTAACAGCCAGACCAGCTGTCACAGTTAACTCTATTATGGAAGTACAGTATGTAAAACAACAATATCCATTGAACCAGACAACAACAAACAGGCCAGCTATGATACCATTAATTTGTACAGTTCCTTTTTATAATTGGCATACAACACACACATATGAATAAGGGTTGTGTTATTGCCCCAACTCTATTATTTTCATCGCCATGATCCTACACATTGTCAAAGGGAAACTCCCCACCAGAGTAGAAATCATATAACAAATGAAGGAAAAGCTCTTTAATCTGAGTAGGCTGAAAGCAAAAAGTAAGGTTACAATAACTTCCGTCATAGAGCTTCAGTATGCTGATGACAAAGTAGTGTGCGCACACTCAGAGGATGACCTCCAAACCATCCTAAATATATTCACAGAATCTTATGGAAAGCTTGGCCTATCGTTCTATATCAAAAAAACCAAAGTGCTGCACCAACGAGCACAAAACAACCCCTTTGCAGCACCACAAATTCAACTTAATGGTGTAATGTTGGAAAATGTCAATCACTTTTCCTACCTGGGCAGTTATCTTTCTACAAGGGCCAACACTGATGCCGAAATCCAGCATCGCCTGAGCTATGTGAGCGCAGCTTTCTCCCAATTGAAGCGTATAGTGTTTGAGGACTGGGACATTCTCAGGGAAACCAAATTGCTTGTTTACAAAGCTATCATACTACCAACTTTACTGTACGTTTGTTAAACGTGGACTACTTATAAACACCATCTCCAACTCCTCGAAAGATTACATCAACACTGTTTCTGAAAAATTTTACACATCACTTGGGAAGACAGGCTAACTAATGTCAGTGTACTGGAAGAAGCAAAGGTCACCAGTGTCAAAGCAATGATTCTTCAACATCAACTTTGTTAGACTGGTCATGTTGTTTGGATGCCTGATTATCGTCTTCCAAAGCAACTACTCTATTCCCAACATAATAATGGAAAGCGAAATACCGGTAGACAACAAAAAAGTTTAAAGACACTCTCAAGGCAAATCTTTAAAAATGTAGTATAAGCACTGATAACTGGGAAACACTGGCCTGCAAGCACTCCAATTCAAGAACAGCCTTTACCTAAGGTGTAATGGACTTTGAAGAAGCACAATCTCTGGACAAAAGGGAGAAAAAAGCTAAGAGGAAGGCATGTTTGGGAAATCCTCACCATGATAAACTCCTGCCTGGAAACCTATATCCCCACTGTGGAAGGATGTGTGGATCCAGAATTGACCTCCACAGTCACTAACAGACTCACTGTTAGACCGTGTTCATGGAAGACAATCTTACTTGGCTATGAGTGATCGCCAAAGAAGAGGAATTACTAGCATACTCCTAACATGTACAATTAACTCAGTCACAATGCAAGTTTTTTTAAAAAAATTGTATTGGAAATTTTCCAGTGGTTTTTCCTATGCAAATTTGCATAGGGAAATTTCAGTTTGCATCAGGAAATTTTCCCTAGAGAATGATCTAATTAGCATGTTTGCTTAACTTGTATTTAATAAATGAAGCTACAAACTCTGATATTGCCAATCTTACCTAATATTTACTTGCAACTGACATCCATTAGTTGTCACAAATGAACTTATGAAATGGAAAATTTTCCACAGAGAAGCATATCACAGGAAAGTTCTCCATTTTGCAAGATTTTCTGCCCTGCATCTCAGTAAGTCACAGTTAGCTCAAGCTTTCTAGATACATATGCCTATTCTGTTTGTGGTTGTCTGACTACAGGAACTCTATTTGGTGAGTGGACACACACACAGGAAACAAAATGGGGAACATAGCAGCATGGATCTAGACTTTAATCCCTTTGCCATGTTATATCTGACTTTATCTCCTGACTTCTGAGCTTCACCTGAAGCGAGAGGTTTCTAGTTTTGCTTGCTGAAAGGCTTATAAGATCCTGAAATGTTGTGAAACACAGAAAGCCTATTGTTGAATTCAAGTTGGGAGGCTGCATCACAGAGACAAGATTTTGCTGTCTGCTGAAGAGAGAACATTCCAGTTGTTCGAAGTTACCAGTGACAGGCTGCACTGAGGCTATATATGAATTGGGTTTTTTGTTTTAACATTGAAACTGTAATTTAAAGATGCCTCGGTCAACCACCGCATATGTCGCTTACTCCAGAAAATGCTCACAGAGATGATGCACATTTTCTATTAACCAGGGAAAGGGGTTAATGAGTAGAAAATAAATCCCGTTTTAGAGAGATGACGTCGATGTTTCATCACCTGGATTTTATCACTCCATGATTGTCCAGAGGTGAATACTGGCCAAACACCTTTTAGCTGTTTGTATATGCGTACTTGTTTTACTGCCTCCATAAGCCAAAAGAGGTTTTTATCTATGAAATGGAATTGGGACATATTAATTATCTGCCATGAACTACTAAGGTTGTAGAGATCGGGCTCTGGGCAGCAGTCTAGTTGCACAGCCATTTGCGGCTGTTAAACCTCAACTCCCAGCAAAACACACTTGCAGCACTCAAGAGAGGAAGAGCACATCCTCAGAATGAAGGAAAATGAAGTAAAAGCAAACAGTGGGAGATTAAGCATCCTAACATTCACCACTTTTAAAAGGCAAGACAATGTTCCCATGTTGAAGCAGTACACTAGGGAGCAGTTCACCACTAAAATGTGTTTTTTAAAATCGAATGACAAGGCCACACAACAGTACAGGCCAGGTTTGTTTAGAGGTGGGGCATAAAGAGGGGTGTTGTCTCTCATCTTTCTCACCACAGGCTATATCCAACAGGCACCTGAAATGCTCACATGATATTCCAACACAGCAGTTACAATGGCTGTGACCACAAGAAGAGCCCTGATGGATCAGACCAAAGAGTGATCAAGTCCAACGTATCATTTTCAACAGTGGCCAGCTAGATGCCTCTGGGAAACCCACAAACAGGATATGAGCGTATGAGGGCACTAGCCCTCTTCTATGCTTGCTCCTCAGCAACTTGTACTCAGAGGTATATTTCCTCTGATCCTGGAGGGTAATATACAGCAACCATGATATCAGTCAATGATAACTCTGATAGGTGAGCATGCTTTGCTCTCTTTCAGCTATGAAATGGGCATTTCAAAGCTGGATTCAGTACAAGAAGCCACTGTCAAATCTCAGGTCTGGGTTCATGTTCAGTACTGCTTATCGCTCCATAACACACAGGTACACATTTGTGTGGGTTACAAAGGTTTATAATGAATAATACAAGTACCCAAGTCCTTTCTGTAGGAAGTTAACAACTAATTGTAACAAGAACCACCAATAGGTAAACACTATCAGATTAAGATTTAAATACAGTAAACCAAAGATTAGAAATAACTAGGAAGAAAAAGTCAAACTGTCAAGACTTTGGTTTAGAAGTGTCTGTGTGTATTAACAGGAGACAAATTATTGCTCCAAGTTAAAAACTGTGCATAATGCAGACAAATCACATAACAAAGATACCCTAAAATAGTCTTTGGGTCCAACAACATGACTCTCTCCTAAAGGAAAAGGCCCTTGAGTAATACAGCAGGACACAAGATCCTAACCTTTCTGCTAATTTACCGGTATGTGCATCTCCAAACCAGTCCTTGGGAACGTGCAAGTGTTGGGACTGGCGCAGCAGGAGCAAGCCTCTGACGCCTCTGTTCTGGGATCAGGGTGGAGCAGGCCTTTGCAAGTTGATTCAGAGCAGAGAAACAGGCTACAGGGTGTTCCCTAGAGGGTGGGACAGCAAGGGAACGCAGCCAAACCTGTGAGTGCTCCACACTGAAGAACAGCTAAAGCAAACTACAGGGCAAGGCATTCCACATTTTAAGCACAGCCTTCAGCTTTGTCAGAACACTACTGCCAACAACACTTCCCCTTCAAACACTGCCAAAAGTAACTATTTTCAAAGCAATATTTTGTCTCCTTTTATGCTGCAAGTTCCACTGAGGTCTGGCTTGTCCCATCATTTTCAGCTCCCAGCGATCATTACACTATTCTGCACTTGCATCTGTCTCCCTTGACTTCTCTCCCAAAGTCTGCCAGAGAACAAGATCTTATCCCTGTTTCAGTAATTCATTCATATCCCGTCTTTCCTCCAAGGGGCTCACTGAGATAAACATGGTCCCCTGTACTATTTTTCTAGAAAAAGGGGTGCTGGAACTCACCATGAAAACCTCCCTCATTCTCTTAGAATGGCAATGGCATCCACCTGAGAGGTGGCAGCCCGGAACCCACCTGAGAGGTGCCGGACCTGAGTTTCTCTGAGTTCCCCCTAAAAAAGCCCTGGTATTCCTCCCCTCCCTCTTTTATTCTCAGCACCCATTTGAGGTATGTCAGGCTGCAAGATGATGATTTGCCCAAGTTGACCCAGTAAGCTTCACAGTTCAACGTTGATTTGAATGTGGGCCTCCCCAGTCTTCCTGATTCACAATACAGTGGTGCCTCGCAAGACGAAATTAATTCGTTCCGCGAGTTTTGTCGTCTTGCGATTTTTTTCGTCTTGCGAAGCACGGTGTCGGGAAAGTTTTGGAAAAGCTTCAAAAATCACCAAAGTCTTTAAAAACCTCAAAAAGGCTACCACACCGCGTTCTATGAGTTGCTCCTCGAAGTCAAGTCGCAACTGTATTAACGGTGTTAAGAAAAAGGAACAAACTTGCAAGACGTTTCCGTCTTGCGAAGCAAGCCCATAGGGAAAATCGTCTTGCGAAGCAGCTCAAAAAACAAAAAACCCTTTCGTCTAGCGAGTTTTTCGTCTTGTGAGGCATTCGTCTTGCGGGGCACCACTGTATTCTCATTTCAAGCAATTATGAAAAATATAATCACACGCTCCAGAGCGTAAACCCATCAAGACTATGGGCATTTACAGGTCATGGAATTAGCTCTAAACAAGACTCCTCACAGGTGCTGAATTTTAATTTGTCTAGACAGCAGACATACAGGAGACAAAGTGCTGACAAGGCCCCATCTTGGCAGAAATGCAGAAGGCAAAAGGCTGAAAGCCCTAAAGCTATAATCTTTACCTATAAAACAAATCATTTTGAAATACTGACACATCTAAACTTAAACTAGCATGAAGCATCCTAAGGATTTCAAAATTTAAAGCACAATGTATAGTTTTGGGGAGGGCCAAATAACTTCAGAGATCTGCTCCATAAATCCTACTCAAGTTTTGTTGACATTCCATACTGAACTAGAGATTTCTCTGCAGCTGACTAGGATAGGCGTTAAAATGCTAAGCCTTGAATAACTGGAGGCCTCAAATGGATTTTTGTGGTAATGCCTCTGTATTAAGATAGGAATTATTTCACCTAGGCCTAAACAATCAAGAGGAGGCTTGCCAAACCTCCTCTTAAACTCTCCAGTGAAGACGGCCGTGAATTCACTAGCTAACTAGCCTCCTATCTCTGCTGCTTTTACAGCTAAGGATTTGCTTTCTAAATTTTTAACAAAGCCTTTGTTTCCTGCTGTTAGAAACACTACTGGTTGACTTCCACCTGTTAACTGTTCGTTTTAACATCAAAATCCATGTGCTTGCACACCCTATAACTTAAACATATTTATTTCTGTCATCACCTATCCCCCAGGTTCTCCAGTACTGTGTGTACGTTTACTTAGCTGGGGCAACCCAGGCAGATAGGTGGGGTACAAATTTCATCATCATCGGTATCCCCTTGAGTCCAAGAGGATTTTCTCCCATGTTAGGATTGCAGTTGAAGTATTTCCCTTTGAAGTGCATCTCATTACCAGCAGCCTCACTAGCTGTTATTACCATCACTACTATTTAACCTTTTTTATTGTCTATGTGAGACACTGCACTGACCTCACGTATAAAAGCCGCTCCTGCCCAGATGGCTTACTATGTAAGACTGGGAGGACAAAGATGAAGGGAGATAACAGGAAGAAAGTAGCAAAGGGCAGGTGGGAGAGGGCTGTATTTACTATTACTCCTGCATGTTAACAGGATCAAAATGAAGGCACAGTATAATTTCAAATGACTTGGACGGAATACTTTGTGCATCACAGAAAATCCTTTGCTATTCTTGCAACAGACCACATTCAATTTGTGATCCACATTTACCATTGAATCCTTATCAGCAGAGCTAGAGCCTAGCTAGCCTACTTTTTCTAATACTATAAGTACATTATACCAGACAGTTGCTACATCCCACAGCAGGAAAGCATGTGAGCGACAGTGTTACTTCACCAACACAGAGGTGGGTGGGGAGACCTTTCAGCAATTTTGTTTTACTCTTCTGATGAATACTGTATTTGGAAAGCAAAGATGGTCAGAATCATCAGGGTTCCTCCCTGCTTCTGCTCCCTGGGTTCAGCAAGAGAAGACAACAAATGGCACCTCACCCTACAGTGGGCGCAGTTTCCTGCTTCAGGAACCAGTGACCAGTGACCTCTTGGCAGTAAGTGAAGGAAGGTCCCTAACATTAGGTGGGGAAGAGAGTGTAAACTGGCAGGCCTGAGGAAAAGGGTGGGCTACATTATACACATCTGCATGAAAAGGCCAATTCATATCTTACCAGTAACAGAAATATACTGTATACTGAATGCATTATACAAAGTCACCAATATCCTGTTATTGGAACATATTATGCACATTCATCCACATTTACTCCTTTTTCATCATTATTCTACCTGCAAGATTTAAGATTTCAAAGAATTTGGAGCATTTTGCAAAATGTAGAAAGCCAGAGGAGAATCAGTGATTAGGCTTAAATGGTCAGCAGGAGGGGAACAGAACATGGTGGCCACAGGAGGGAATAAATGTGTATGGCGCTGTATTGTAAGATTTCACACAACTTTGGTGACAGGTTATGCCTGCCAAGCATCTACCCACCCCTTCCTTGTTAAAATGGTAAGGGATGGTAATGGAACAGACTGTGTGCATCCCTTCTGACCTAGATAAGGAGTAGTAAGCTTTTGAATGCCTCTGAAGAGTGAAATGGAAGCACTTGCCAGTTTTGCCAGTTGTTGAATAGCACCTAGGTTACAGAGCATAAATCTTTTTTCTCCAACTTCCTCAAACGTTAACACCCTCAACAGATTACCTGTAGCAACAAAAGGACAAAAGTCCAACACCCTATACCACTGAGCCAATCATTAAAAGCATAGAGGAACACCTTCTAAATTCAGCAAAAGAGCCTTCAGTTAGGGAAGATGGAAGCCCATAATGCAGAAGAATGGCATATAGTACACAATTTAGGAGAAAGATCTGACAAAACTGCATTTCTCTCCCCCCCCCCTCCAGCTTCTCAAGTCTCCTGAGAAAGCAGGGGTGTTGACCTCACTGGAGAGATGTTAAATGGACAGGAAAGCCAGTTTCCTCTGCTACTAGGCATTTGGGTGTTGCTACCGAGTTTCCCTCAATTCCTACACTACAATAAAAGGAAAACAGAAAAGTTAGTTTCGGTAGTGAAACTCAATCCTCCCATCAATGATAACACAGAGACACCGACCCACACACTCTCCTGAGCCCACTTGGCATCAGGAACAGCAGGAACCATGGAACTCGGCACACTTTGAAACAGGTGGGTCTTTATCAGACACTTGTTAAACCACCTTATTTTATATTCTCTGAACGTAGATGGATAGTTCAAAAACTCCTCACCTAACTTAATAGTACAGAGCGGACGTACATGGGCGTTTATTTAATCGCCTACCCCCTTTTACTAATGGAAGAGGGAGCAGAGGGTGAGGGAAGAGAAACTCTCAGCATGTGCAGGAAAATAAACCCCTGAAATTCCAAGTCACAACACACCCAGGGGCTCCATTCAGAGAACCCAGGAGTCCGGGCTGCCGCTCCAGCTGGCAACTCCCCTCAAGAGCAGGCTGTCTCAGGGGCAACGGCACTACTTTCCCTACGTGTTTTGTATCCAGGCAACCCCGGCGGGGCTTTTTGCATCTGCAAACAGGCAGGAAGCTCCCTCCCGCCGGGTGGGGGTTGGGGGAAGAGCGCTGGATGCCAGGACTCCTGGGTTCCCCCTCACCCCTAAATCTCGCTTCCTCTTAGGAGCCGCCCCCACTTCTCCCCCCCCCCCCGAGCTCCCTTCCCTCGCAGCGCAGCCAACACTCCTCCCCCCGGAGCCCCTCTCCTTAGACAAGGCACGTCCGTCCATTCCCTTCTCCTCCTCCTTACCAGCGTCCCTTTCCTCGCCGGGCCCGTCCCTCAGCCAAACTACAACCCCGCGCAGCCAGGCCTGTCCCTCAGCAGGAGGCGGGACTTAGAAACCGCGCCTACTAGCCAATTGGAGCGCGCTTCGCCTCCTTCCTTGGCTAATCACAGGTTGCCCTCCCAAAGCAAGGAGAACATTCCGGGTCCTTCGTATCAAGTTCCACACAACCGCCGCCACCCCCAGCTTCGAGATGCAATGGAAGGGGTGGGATGGGGTTGCGGAGCAGAAACGCAGAGCGGGTGGAACATACCATCCTCGAAGTGGGGGGGGGAGAGGTGGATAGTAACCATCCAGGAAGGGCTTTGGGGATAACTGCCCGCGGCCCTGAACCCGCCCAAACGCCCTCTCCTCCTCCCCCCGCCCGCACCCGGCTCACGTCCGTGTTCTCATTGCCTTCTAGTGGCCAATTCTGTCACTACAGCGCGCTTGGAACCAATGGGAAGGCGGGAGGCCGGGCGCGGCCTGAGCCGGAGGCGAATTAGCTGCCCCGGGTGGAGGGAGGGGGAGACTTGTCTGTGCCTGGCGCTTAGCAGCCGAGTGCCGGGGTGGGAAGGTGCGCTATTCCGATCACGCCTTTTCTCTAGGTTAGGGGCGGACCGGAGTTCACCACTTCGGCCTCGCCCCGGAACCTGTTGTGAATTCGAGAGGATCGAAACATATAAAGCCTTCACGCGAAACCAGCCCCGCTCCTCGTCCCGCAAAAGCCTCTCCCTCCACTTTAGGCCGTAGGAGAGGCGGTTCTTGGAGGGCAGCGGGGGCGTCCAAGGCTCCGGGAGGGGGACCCACATGTCACAGCCCACTGGTGACCGAGGGAGGGCGTCTTGCCCACTTTCAGAAACGGGGTGTCAACATCCGCTCACCACGACGCACATCACACCCACACCCACTTTTTCCTTCACTGCGTCGAAGGGAATCTCCCAATTCTTGGTGATTTCGAAATCTGGATTAAAATGCCATTGAAATCAATTGGGCGTGACAGAATTATCATAGGTTGGGGCGGCGCATTGTGAACATAATGGTGCTTGCCTTTGAGTAAGTATCCCGAGCGCCAGTCCTATCATTAGGCAAAGCGAGACAGCAGGGAAGCTCAGTAAAGCACTCGCAAACGCATAGGTCATATAATAATACCCTGTGTCATATAATCAGTGGTTTTTCCCGGGGGGGGGGGGGGACGCGGGTCCGCCTACCCCCAAACATTTTGTGAATCTAAGTTTGGCTTCAATATGAGTAGGAAAATGAGAGTTCCCCTCTCATTTTTATTTTTAGAAAAAAGCACTGCATATTAATATACAGCTGTGGCTCTTTCAGGGCTAGCCCACCCACAAGTCAAGGTGAGGCAACTGCCTCGGGTGGCAGGATCCACAGGGGCAGCAGATCCCGCCTCTCTGTGAATAGGAAGCACTGCTGGTCTCCTCCTCCCGCCTTTGTTCCTGATACATATCTTCACTCTCCCCATCTTCCCTAGCAGGGACACACCATTTTGTGGTTCATCTCAGGTGTCAAAATGCCTTGGGCTAGCCCTGGGCTCTGCCATAGTACTTTGAATTTGCAGGGTGGGGCTATCTTTGGTTGTATGAGAAGACAGTCAGCATAGTAGTGTTGATTACACTGGTCAACAACAAATTTGTTGTCTGCATTTTTTCAGTTGATTTAGGATGAATCTGATGCGCTGAATCCAAAAATCACATTGGTTTTGCTCAATCAGGTCAAGTTATTGAGCTATGTTCACATGTACGCTTGTGTGGAGCATTTTAGAAGAAGTTGGTGGGGGTAAAATGCCATGTTGAATAATTGTTTTGATTGGAAATGATTATTTTAATGACAAGAAGTATTCAGGTCCGATAGTTCTGGGTGATTATGTCGAAAGGGGATCAGTTTGAAGTCATAAAACCTCAAAATCTTCCATAAATTGGTGCGGCAAAGCATAAAGTTGGGGGATCAAAACTAAGTTAATGGGGCAGCCGCCCCACGAAGAATTGTCAAAGGACTCTGCCGAACTGTTGGCATCCGATTGAAGGAAAAAAACCTCCTCTCTGACAGTGCTCGCATCAGCTTCTTCCGCAACAGGCATCAAGAGTACCTCCGTTTTTTTCTCGGAAGAGAAGGACTTGGTGTACTGTGCAGATATTGCGCAGCTTCTGCTCAAGCTTGGAGTGCCACAGTACGAACCCAAAGATTGGAGACTGTTCATTGACAGCAGCAAGCGATCACTGAAATGTGTTCTGCTACACAACGGCAACCAGTTTGCCTCTATACCCCTGGCTCACTCGACTACACTGAAGGAGAACTATGAAGCGGTGAAGTATGTGCTGGAGAAAATTGGTTATGATCAGCATAAGTGGTTTATTTGTGTTGACCTGAAGATGGTGAACTTTTTGTTGGGACAACAGTCTGGCTTCACCAAGTACCCATGTTTTCTGTGCATGTGGGATAGTAGGGACCGTGCTCAGCATTACACGAAGAAGGACTGGCCTGTGCGGAAGGAATTGGTGCCTTGCAAAGAAAGGAACGTCATCAACGACCCTCTGGTGGACAGAGACAGAATACTCTTCCCACCGCTGCACATCAAGCTCGGCTTAAGCAGTTCACCAAGGCTCTGGACAAGGATGGTGACTGCTTCACTTACTTGTGCCAGGCTTTTCCAGGATTGACCATGGAGAAGTTGAAAGCTGGCATCTTTGACGGTCCTCAGATCAGTCAGCTCATCAGAGATCCAGAGTTTGGAAATTCAATGAACGAAGTGGAACTGGAAGCGTGGAAGGCATTTGTTCTGGTAGTGAAGAACTTTATTGGCAACAATAAGGCCAGAAACTACGCAGAACTTGTCAACAACATGCTGACTGCTTTCAGAAACCTGGGCTGCAACATGAGCGTCAAGATGCACTACCTATTTTCACATATTGACCGGTTTCCTGAGAACCAGGGTTCAGTGAGTGACGAGCAGGGGGAGAGATTCCATCAGGACATGAAAGAGATGGAGACCAGGTATCAGGGTCGCTGGGACGCAGTCATGATGGCTGACTACTGTTGGACTCTGAAGAGAGACCTCCCTGCCACTGAGCATTCCAGGAGTTCCAAGAAACGGAAGTTCAAGCCCTGAAGTTTGAAAAATGGTGAAGCAACATGCAATTTACGTGTACTTACCTTTATCAATGCCCACCATTCAGTTTACAGTAATCGATGTTTCTATCAGGTAATCAATATATGTTGTTGGAAAAACATTTTTTTCTCTTAAAAACATATTTAGGATGATATGTGTTGACAAAAATCAGCTGATAATGCCACAAAAATGTAATCGATATTGTCACAAGATCTGATTTTTTTCAAATCAACACAGCACAAAAACCTGACCTGATGGAGAGAAACAGATGCCATTTCCTGATTCAGCAGTGCAAAAATACCCTAAATCAGTTGTAGAAATCTAGACAACATTCAAAAAGTAAGAAATTGTTGCCCAGTGTTATGTTTCGCCTACGTACTGCTGGCGGGGGGTATGTTGATTTAATCTCAGTTCTGTGCATGTTCAGTGATGCTGTGCACCTTGAAATTAAGGGAGGGATTTGCTGGTTCATTTCAGGTAGCAAAATGTATTGGGCTAGCCATGATTATCCTGCTCTTCCTCCAAAGATGGCATCCATAGTCCACTCCTGTAGACTCCTAACATTTGTACCAGATAGGTTTGGCTGTGAACTACCCAGCCATTATTCTGTGACATATCCAGGTGTGGCCTGTCCCATTTTGCCACCTTGCACATGCTTCATGCACTGCCCACCTCCACTGAAGCCTCGCTTTCTGGGGTTGTGCAGCTGCAACTTCCAGGTTCAAATAACATCTTTCTAAAACCCAGAAACCGCCACAGCCGCTTCTCTGATAGCAGGGGCATGCATCTGCAGAGGCACCCCTTGGGTTCTACCACCTGAGGCAGAAGCCTGTCTGCATGGACAAGCCCAGCCCTGGCCATACCACAGATTACCGTATTAGCAGCCTAGGCCAGGAATGGAGAACTTGTGGCCCTGCAGATAGTATTGGACTGCAGCTCCCATCATCCCTCCCATTTGGCTGTGCTGTTTGGGACCAATGGAGTGGGACGCCAACATCTGGAGAGCCACGCATGAGCTAGGCACTAAGAATTAACATACCAGGAAAAGAAGCTCAACTCAAGCCTGTGCTCTACTTGTTCTGTACTGCTTTTCTTCAGATAGAAAAAAAAGTGATTCCTGGCCTACCATCTGAACTGGTAAGAGTTCACTTTACCTCCATATTCTGCATGTGTAGCATCAAGCCCCTGTCACTCTTCTTGGCTGCTATCTAGTTGAGCTTCCTAAAATTAATCTCTTGGAACTTGTTTGGCTCAAGCTCATATGGCTCACACATGCAGCAGACTGAATTGCTTCAGCTGTCAGATCACATTTTGGAATGTGCTTCCTGCCCCCATATAAAATATTCAGCAAGTTAAAAACTAGCACAGCTTGTTGCTCTCTGTTATGCTGCTTTTCAAGTTGTAGAGAACTGAGAATTCTTCACATAGCAAAGAATTTAGAAATGTGATCCAGCACATACTTATCTACCCGCTTCTTCCTGCTGCACACATAGACTAGGCTCCTTTGGGACTTTTGGGAACAGGGAGCTAAATACTGAGTTTAAGCAAATGAAGAGATTTCTTAGAATGCAGAACAAAACCTTAAAATTTAAGCAAAGTTTACGGTAAGAATTCTTATTTGGATGAGGCTGGTGCAATAGCACATACCAGTTGGCAGTCAATACTTTGGAGGGTTTGCTTTCAGGGCTTTCATTCTTAGCCTTTACTCCCTGTAGCTCAAATTGTCACTAGAAAAAAATCTGTGTGTATTGACAGACTATAGGAAGCACAACCATAAACAGTAGTGTATTAGGGTAGAGTTGTTGCCAATATATCCATGGTATGGAGAGGAAGAAGGAAAAAACATCAAAATGTGTGTTGAACAGCCTCTTCATCTTCTTGCTGAACTTCTTGCAGGAATCCTATTAGACTACATGCATATAGTACCAATGCTGTGTCTTGACCAGAATGCAGATACACCTCCTTAGACCACACATGTATTATTTTACAATAAAAAAAAATTCACTCACTTTACTGCTTGTATTTACAATAAAGGAAGATCCAAGCTTAGGTCATCCATTTTCATCCGTCATATTTTGCTTCTTGGGTCCTCATACCTCACTACTTTTGTCTGCCTAATAAAAAAGTTAACCTAGATTCAAAAACCCAGCTATCTCATAATCATGGAAACCAATACTTTAAAAATCTGAAGTCCCCCCCCCGTACTTTATGACATTACAACTGTGTAAGATGCCTGTCTTTGGACAGCGACATCATGACAAAAATCCTACAAACTACTTAAGTGTTGGAAATATCATGAACTATATAACATATGTTACACTCACTGCTCCTGCATTAGGATATATGCATAGGAAGCTATAGTGAACGCCTGCTTAACCATTGAAATAGTACTCAATCATCCTGTGTAATAAACACACAGGTTGCAAGCCATTTGGCACTCATGGGTTCTTTTCAAATGGACAGTTGAAGCAGCTCCAACGCAGAAGAGGTTGAGACAGGCCCTGCCTGATCAATCTCCTTAGCTTACCTACCGGTATGCCAAATTGAAGAATGTATGTTTCATAAAGAGCTAAGTAACTGCAGAATCTGTAGTGTATCCTGAATTCGTTTGCTATCTGTAGTGAAGTTAGGGGTGCATCCCATATAGCTACCAACAATGAAAATTGTGATTCTGTGCAATCAGTTGTCACATTCACATGAGTTACATGGAAGCTGTTGCTTGAACCGTATTAGAGTGAGCAACAAAACAAAGAAATCATAAAAATATTCGTTCCCACCTTTTCTGATGTGAATCAAAAGATGCTGTAGCCAACGTGGCAGTTCTAGAGCACTGCACTGATGATAGAATATTCAGAAGTGTTGCATTTGATGCAGCTAAATGATGTCAGGTTTTATCTTCCCTGGAGAAGCTAGACTGGCTCTCTTCCTGTTCTTTTGCCAGCAGGTGAAGATCTTGTTCCAACAGGCTTTTGGGAATTGACTCCTTTTTTAAAAAGGGCTGGTGCAGTACTGTTTTTAATTATTTGTATGTTTTAAACCAACTTTATATATGTGTATAGTTTTATGTCTATTAATGTTTGTTTTTATGTTTTTAAGTGATTGTTTTTATCTCTAAGCTGCCTTGAGCCCCAACAGGGGGAAACGCAGGGTATAAATATAATAGCAGCTCAGGCACCGAAGAAAAAAATCCCATCAATTGGAGAACACTCCCACACATAGCTATGTAACTGGCTTGTTTCCTCCTAAAGGTGACCAATTTCAGTTCCCTGGAGACGCAAACTAAAATAACATGCCCAGTAATCTTAAATCTCTTAATCTTATACTCGTATGATGAAAATGCTACTGGTGCATGCCCATAAGATCCCAACCCGCCACCTGAAGATGAATTCTCTAGCTTTTTCCTGTAGAAACCTACATTTGCCTATTAAAAAACAAGGTGCTCACAAGCTATTTTTGGCACATACACATCATTATGTACAAGAGACAGATAATTTTAGTTTGAGATAATGTATATGACCCATTATTTGGAATTCACATCTATCAGACACACAGTGGGTACTGTACAGAACTTCTGACGCAACAGTGAGATTTTTTAGTGAACATGTAAAGACCATATGGCAACACAGAGGCCCTTCGGTTTACAATTGCTATTCATTAGACTAGTAGTGATCACGCAGAGGAATGAAGAAGCAATCTTGCTGAGGAAATTAAACAGGTTGCATTTCTAGAAGAAATGGGTAGCTTTGCCTGCAATAATCAGTTATTTCCCTTCCATTTAATCCCTCTTTAGGATCAGATAGCACAGTGGAATGCCTGTTCAGAGATTTTAGTGACAAGGATCCAGCAGAAGCTGTGGATTTATGTTGTAGCTAAAGAGCATTTCTTCATTGCTTGGAATGCATTCCATTTTAATTTTAAGCCCATAATAATATTAATTTGGTATTTTTCAAACCTAGAACATTGAAGAAAGAAGCTCAGTATGACAAGTTTCTTATTTCATGACCATGAACCAATAAACACTCACATCTAGGTTTCTTTACACTAGTTATATTTTTTAAAAAATGTTTACAGGAAGCTATACATGTTCCTTTACTAGAAACAATACCTTTAAGAAAAATGACTAATGCTTTACTCTTTTCAGTTTCAATAGTTATCACCTATTGAAATACTTATTTATTAAAGAATGTCTTCAACTGAACATTTTACATCTTTTCTGCCAGTCCAATCAATCAACCAGGATCAAGTCTGACATATTAACAGTGTATGGCAAGAAGTCAAAGATTTCACTGAAAAACCCTGTAAACTTCTTACATGCTTTCCAGAAGTTATAAGGCAGCATCCTGCTTGCTTAACAGGGGAGGCCATACTCCACCAATTTACCTTCTGGAAAAGGGCAATTTATGGCCAAGTTTCAGGATGCCTTCCCTTCCAGGAGCTTCAACACATGGCACCATTTTAGAATGGCTTAGTAAGGGCACCCTTAAGAGCAACAAAAACTGAACATTAAAGGTACCCCCCCCGGGAATGAGATAGTGCAGAATGCAATAAGACACAGTACAGCAAAAACAAGAGATTGGAGGTGTTTACTTCTGAAGTCCAGTTTAGATTGTAATCTCCTCCTTCCTATGGGAGGACCTATGTGACATGCCCAAGTAGGGTTAGCCAACTAAGTGAAGGCATGAATTATGATTGGTTGTCGTCTTCCACGTTCAATTAAAAGATGTTCTGCCAATTCCTTCTCTTGGGTAACTGAGCATTGCTGTAAATGTTTTGAGCAATGACAACTTGGGCCAAAAGTCACTGAGAAGTGCAATGTTCATCTTGCAAGAATGGATTTCCCAGAAATCTTTTAGCAACATGAAGTTAACTTCCCTACCCACTGCCAAAAGCGACTCTGAAATCCTGATTCCAGTTCCAATTCCTCTGCTTTGGAGGCACAGCAGTCCCGTTCTGCCTGTCTTACTATATTGGCAAGATTTGTTCTAGGACACTTTTTGAAGACTGTGGAATTCTGTCTGGGAATCTTATATCAAACTCAATAATAAGATCCCCTCGTTGGCTTGGATTCTTGGGGAATGGAAGACCTTCTCCAGGAATTCTTCGCTTCATTCCAGGTTTAATGATGTCCTTGAATACCATTGGTATGTTCCTACCATCTAGTGTTGGTGTGTTCACAGTGCAGCCACATAGAGCCTAAACACAAACACAAGCCAGAGAAGTTAATACCTTTTTCAGTAAATAGTTCCCTCTTGTAATTCCCATTGAACCCAAGTATTTTTAGTGGGCCTATGACAACTGATGAGTTCATGAAGACAGGAGGAAATGCTGACAACTCTTGAGCTGAACATCGAAGCTACATATACAGTCAGCATCCCATAACATTTCACTGTGCCTGAAATCATGCTGCTGCTACTGTATCATGATCTGCTTCCTCAGTGCACTCCCCATGAGGCTTTGATGAAGTACACTCTTAATAGTTTGCCCACAATATAGCAACACTTACTATAATCATGTGTAGTGATGTGTAGGAAATAGATTGGAACATTCTCAGTTTTTACCCATTTCAAAATCTAGTAATTTAGAAACTTCAGAGGGAGTTCAATGTTGTGCTATCATGAACAAACCATCTGTGCAAGAATTACAGCTTGCCTGATGGAATGACCCCCCCCCCACTTCCTCCCCACAAAACTCTGGGGTTCTCTGAATGCCCCCCCCGAGCCAATTTCAGAGGCAAGCCCCACTGTACAAATAGAAATCCCTGCCTAGGACTTCTGCTGACAGGGCATGTTCGGTGAATCCAACCCTTTGTTCCCCACTTCATTAATCAGCAACAAGTCAGGAATTTCCACTTACCTCACGGAGGCTGATTTTGGCTGGATATACAATATCAGACCCATCTCTTCTAAAAATGTTATGTGGCTTGTCTTTTAAAACAAATACAATATCAGCTGGAATGTTGTTTGGTGTCTGGTCGCCTTCTTTGGGGAATGTAATCTTTGTTCCTTCTTTCCAGCCACGTTTGACTTCAATCGTTAGAATCTTATCTTCATTGCGTGTGCTTTTCCCATCTGGACTGAGACGTTTATGAGAAATTTTCATTTTCTTGGTGCATCCAGAGTAAATCTCCTCCAAGGATACTCTCAACTCATGAGTGATGGGTGGGTCTTGTTTCTTGCGTATGTGTTCAGCGCCCCCACGAGAACGGGAAAAGCCAATGTTACCAAAGTTCTGAAAGCTTGTGAAGGGGTCATCAACATCCATGTCTTCATCGCCATTCCTCTGGACAAAAAAGGTATCAAAAGGATTCCTCCCACCAAAGAATTCTGCAAACATGGCATGAGGATCTCCATGAAAGGTGTAAGTGAATGAAGTGCCATTGGGACCTCCTCCTCCACTGCTGCTGGGACCACCTCCCTTTAGTCCTGAAATACATACAAGGACACACAAATTAATCTCTTTCAGCAATTACTGAACTATGCTCTGTCATGATTTATATTAGGACTCCTAATCTTCAAAACTTCTTCCTCAGTGCCTCTTTTACTGTGATACGAAAATTTACTAAACTCTGAGAACACCACTGGAATTTAATCAAATACTTCTAAGGAAGTCCTGTATCAAAAGGCCAAGCACGTGCTAGCAAAGAAATGCCAAGTAAAGATTTTATCAGAACTGTTGCAGCCTTCTTTCTCTCCATTTTCTCAATTGTAGTGTGCTGAGAACCCTACCATTCAGGAGTAGCTAATGCCGTGTCCTCCACCTTGTTATAACTCCCATCCCCTCTCAACGTTGGTCATGTTGGGGCTGATGTGTACTGCTATCCAACAATATCTGGAAGGCCCTACATTGGCTAACCTTCACACTTTGTAGAGATTATCAATAACTGAATCCATGCTGCTACACAAACAGAGCACCACTTAGAATGCATTTCACCTTAGCCTGTATAAACAAATAGGTCGTTAACATGACAATAAATATTATTGGGAACAGACCTACAAATCAAAACTAACATTGTAAAGAACAGGTTAGCATGACGAGTATGCTAGAATCTTCTAGCAAGTACTAGAAGACTTTTTGTAGCAAAGGCTCCACCTATCTTAGAAAGCCTGTCATGCAGCCCAATTTATCCTGTCAATACATGTTACCAACAATGTTACAGGAAACTGCTAAGCATTTTACTATGAATGCAGGCAATAGAATGCCATAAAAATTACACAAACCTAATATATTTGTAACTAAATTTAAATACTTCAATCCTATGTGCTACATGCCTTAATATATCACAAAAGTAACAGTATTGTGCTTAGTTCCTTCTTTAAAAAAAATCAACAGTTCAAAAAAAGCATACTAAGTTGCTGAAAAGCATGTACTTGGAACAAGTTTATTATTGAAAAACTGACAGATCCTCAGAAAAGCAATAGAAATAAATCCTACATCAAGTTGTTTTTTCTCTTTCTTCCCTGCCTAAATGCTTTCCATTTTATTTCAAAGTAAGTTTCTCAAACAGGAAGAACCTGAAAGGTAATGGTGGATTTTTAAGGAGTGACCTTAATACTATATGAACAATTCAAAGATGGCAACTCATCTGGCTAGTTTCCAGGACGACAGAGTAAAATAACTTGTTCTTTCTTCTCACCTACTTTTCCCTCCCTTCACCTATCTTGGAAAACCAGTCCTGGTAGATTAGTTGCTGAACAGTCATTCCAAAAGCCACTCTACAGGGAAATGCTTCCTAACAGCGCTAAATGGCAGAGTTGATCAGTTATAAAAGCAGAGATTTTTAGAAGATGTTATCGCTCAAGGGTGGGGCAGGAGGGAGACAGGAGGAAAGTTACGACGGGGGGGGATGACACTATTTGACTGTACGACTGTACTCTCTGGTATCAAAACAACTTCTGCGGGAGGAAAAAACGCTTAGCTTACGTAAGTGCAAAAAAATAATATTCTAATGATCTCGTCCCATTCAAGGACAATGGCTCGACTGCCCTGTGCTTTTTGTATACCGTATAAAGTATATACACCACACAGTTTCAACTTCAACTTTCCATTTGCTCCAACACATGAAAAACTGTCAGTTTGGCGTTAATCCTGACTCCATGACGCCTCAAAAAGCGGGGCTTATTTTCCATCCCGTCCTTTACACTACAAGCAGATCCCCTCGCCCATTCTCTTCCCGCATATAAAAGAATAATAAACAGCTAAGAGGCGGTATATACAATACGCAAGACACTCGGGAACCCGGTCTAGAGCAAACGGCTGCGAGCCCACTGCGGGACTTCGGAGCCGTGTGAACGTGCAGGGGGACCGATTTCGCGCCGGTCCCGAGAGCCCCGCTTCTACCCTTTCCTCCCAAGCATCCTCTCCCTCCACGGGCCCCCAAGCACGCACCCTCCTCGCCGAACTTGTCGAAGATCTCGCGCTTCTTGGGGTCGCTCAGCACGTCGTACGCCTCGGCGATCTCTTTGAAGCGCTCCTCGGCGCCCGGGTCCTTGTTCTTGTCCGGGTGGTAGCGCAGCGCCTGCTTGCGATACGCCTTCTTAATGTCGTCCTCAGTCGCCCCGCGGGTCAGGCCCAAGATCCGGTAATAGTCCTTCCCCATCGCCAGTCGCCGAATGCCCTCGCTCTCACAATCACCGGCTCAACTAGCTCTCTCCTCGCTCGGCCGCCCAGGCTATGGCTCAGCGGCAGCCGCTTCCCCCTCCCTATTTATACGGCGGGCGGAGGAATCTTCCAGAGCTTGCCACAACGTTCTCCGCCCCAAACCCGCCCACCCCTTCTGCCCTCGCCAATCGCGGCCCACAGCCCCTTACGCTCCACCAATGGCAACGGGGTTTGCGTCACACATGGTGGGGAAAGTAACGGTTGCCGAGATCTCGCCCCCCCCTCCCCGGCCCTAATTGCGGAGGTGAAGAGCATTCTCTACAACACCAACGGCTCTCATTCTCCAGAGTTCTGGATGCCGCGGCGGCCGCTCGCCAGGCGCGGACGAATCCGGCGAAGCTGCGGGATGCGCGTTGCCCGCGTCGGGATGAGAAGCTACGGACCGTCCAATGAAAACGATCCTGCCGAGGCCCCGCCCTCGCTGGTGCGCCATCACCTGCGAGCAGAAACTCCGCCCACAAGCCACGCCCCCGTTTTGTTGTTATCTAAAGCAGCCAATCCGCAGAGGGCCCTCATATAACTAATTCAGCGAGAGGGAACCTGTGGCCCTTTGCAGATTGTCGGACGCCGGGGTTCTGCGTCCCTCGGTCGCCGTAGGGCCATTGGTCAGGAATGAGGGCGGCTGTAACCCAAACACACCTAGATGCTGAAGTGAAGGTTCCTTAGGACCTGTAGCCCTGCAGATCCCTTTCTTAAGGTGTCTGGGGGCAGCGATGTTCGTCTTCCCATTTCACAGATTTTTCTAGCATTTTTTAAAAGACTCCAAGGCAAGCAGCGTGTGTGGCTCCTTTTCAGTGGCATCACGCCATCCACTGAGAAGAGTGGTTATCCTCCATCACTTCCCCGTCCGTTAATGTGTGGAAGTTTGTAATCTGCTCACATAGTCCAGATTGGACACCACTGGTCATCTGTTGTATTCTATGAGAAGTGAATATTGCTTCCTTTTGCCCTGATGGGTATGTGCCCTACTCCCTCGTCTCTTCTGTTCCATACAAACATTTTTTTGAATTATTGGTTTTATTTAGTCTGCATTAATACCAGATTATTACACTCCTCTTAAACCTTGATTCAATAGAGGGTATGTCCGTCTCTTCTGCCAGCGGGGTTGGTGAGGTACCTGAGGATAATGCTAAGAGCTTCTCTAAAAACCTGTTCCAGCATAATTCCAGCAGAGCTGTATTACTCTTGCTCCAGAATTCAGGGCAACTGCTTTCCTTTCAAATACTAAGGGCAGGCTACACCAATTCATCCCATTCTGTAAAAATAGCTTGTTGTAATAGTTTCAAAACGGGGTTTCGAATGAACGGACCCCCTGCTATTTGTGGAGCAGTCATCCATTGTCCACTTAGAATCCCCCCCCCCGCAACCCCACATTTTAAAATAGTGTTGTGGTGTTACTTATTGCAAAAAGGAGTTTAAATTGACTAGCATTGACCTCAAACCAGTTCAGTGAACAGACAACAGATCTAAATCATTAGTATGTATCAGAATCCGAACAGGAGGAAAAAGGCAGGAGATTGCACCTCTTGTATTATGTTGTTAATAAGCAATTAAATAAAAAGGGACAAAAATGTAACTTTGACTTGTTGGCATATGTAATGCTTTCTTTGCTGGAACTTTTGAAGTAGCCACAACAATCAATAGGCATACTAAGTTGAAACTTATTTATGGAATCAAAAGCACTAGTTAGGTCACAAAGACTGTGAACACATTACTGGATGGCCCATGAACAGTTTTATTTATTGTTAGATTATAAAGAACAAATCTTCAGTTTATGGTGCATTAGTCTTTAAAAAATTCCAGTTATAAGTTTTAGAATTGTGAGTGTTAACTTTTAAAAAGATTTCCTGTTCTGTTCTAAAAGATGTATAAGATCATTTTTCTCCTACCAGTGTGCATTCCATGGCACACTGATACCATTGGACTTGAAGACAGGGAAAGGCATGATCAATTTAAGAGGCAGATTATCAGTTTCTGCTCTGTGTTCTATGGTTCAGTGAATAACTTTTGTTCATAAAATAGAGGAAGATGGTATGTAATCCACAATACTGCTCCCCTGTGTGTTTACTCAGAAGTCAATCTCACTATATTCAGTGGGGCTTACTACCCAGTAAGTGCATAGGATTGCACCCTAGTCTTGAACTTGCCTGCTCCTGAAACCCTTTGAACTCTTATTCGGGCCCACGCCCTGACTTCATTCTGAATTAAGGTAGTTACAACAAAGACCAGACAGTAGATCATTATGTTAGGCATGCAGTAATTTTAAAGTGTTGTGTTAGCAATTCCCTACAATGTGAAATTCAGGAGATAATTGCAGGTTAGTGGTTGTTAGATAAATGCAAATTGAAATAACTTCTAACTGGAGAGTAACAGCTCTCATAAGCCTGATAAGAAAGCATTAGCATATGTTACCTCTGGGATGTTCTGCTTTCAGATAAGCATTCTCTCTAGAAGAAGTGGATGATTAAAATTTTGGTACTGAAAAACTCAGAATTTTGTAGAAAACATTCTTTTATGTGTGAGTGTGAATCACAAAAGCAGTTCCTCTATTTTCTTAGGAGCTGCTTTTCAACTTTTTAAAAATTAGTGTTCATAACCATCTTCATAATCAGGCACAGAACAAAACCAGATGCATTTGCAAGCAGCACTTCATAACCCGCCTGAAGCATGGGAGGTTATGCAAGATATACAACTCATTTAGCACTCAATTTAATGATAAGAACATCTGTCAAAAGCAGGGTGGGGAACCTCCATGGGGTTTTTAAAAAGCAGAGTCTTCTCTTAAACCTCCTCTAAATACATCCTTGGTGGCATGACCACAAGACGTAGGAAGTGTTAAGTTCTACTTTTTCCCATCAAGGAGGTCCCAGAGTATGGTTGACATCATGCTTGTTTATCATCACTTTAGATTGTTCCCAGGCTTCCCTGTTGTCCTGCCTCCTGTACAATGTATATATGTAGCTAATGAATAAGATCATACAAATATTAATAATTTCATTATTTTTAAATATCAAAGTGCAGATTTTATCTGCTGTTCTGCCCTTCAGTATTTCAAAGTGGGCTGTAGGCTTACAGTCTAAAACCAACATAAAGGCTAACACCCTTACTACACTGATAACATTTATTATCTGCTAAGAATATGCTAATGCTTACAAATGCTGATAATGTTTTAATAGTTTTTTTTAACTTGCACACTCCCTCTTGTTTATAAAGGAATTATAAGGGGAGACAGGTTGTCACAAATCCAGTAGCCTTGGTAAAGTGCTGATAATCTTATTAAAGCTAGAATGATTAAACACAGAAGCCACTTCAGGTGTGTTTCAACAGTGTTAACACACAAGGAGACCTGTGAAAATGAACCAAAAAAACCCACCATTGCCATTCTGGATCTCCTCCTTGAGTGGGAGCACTAACCTCTAAAGTAAGGAGCCTCTTGTATTTGTAGAGACTCCCTAAAGATCTGAAGTTTGGGGGGGGCAGGAAGAAAATTGGAAGAAAAACACCATACACACAATTTCCCATTCCCTGGGCCTTCACATCTCCAACCCCATGCATTGTAGAGCACAGGGCTTAGACATGATAGTTAAATCTGACCTCCGTGTTCAGAGGCAGTAAATTACTAAATACTAATTGTTAGGAAGAAAGAACAAGGAAGTCCTGTGAGTTTCCATAAGGCACCTTGAGCGGACATTGTGGGTAATAGGATGCTGAACTCGATGGGCTCTTGGTCTGACCCAGCAGGGCTTATGGCTTTATTTGTCCCTGTGCTTACAGCACTCAGATAAAATTTTGTTGCTTTTATTGTCTGGAAAGGCACTAAATAAGTGTGTGTGTGTGTGTGTGTGTGTGTGTGTGTGTGTACTAACCCAAGGCCGAAGAGAGAGACTACCCACTGGAGCAGATGACCGAGATTGATTTCACAACAAAACAGCATAAAACTGTAAGGGACTAATATGAACGCATTGTAACTGGGGCTGAGGGTTAGTCATGGTTAAATACTCTCACACATCCAACCTCAAAGCTCCTGCCTCCAGTCAATTGGAAAGAGGAGGAGAGACCTCATGGTGTACAGTATTTCAGTTTCACTTCTCCCAAATTACAAACAGGCACCTGATCTTCACCAATCCAGACCAGTCTCTGTTGCTCTCCCTTGCACAGCAAGACCCGTAAATCCTAAATACACTGTTGGCTCTTGGACGAAACGGGAAAGGAAATATATACCTTCTACTGTTATTCACCCCATCATTATTGACGATTAACCTCTTAAACATTTTGATGGCACATGTGACATAACAGGAAAGTCCAAAAGAAGCACCAGGCATCTTTTCAACTGATTGCGTGCTACAGCAAACATGAGAAGGAATTGTCAAGGAGAAAAATAAATGATTTTGTTAAAAAAACAGCCAGAAACCACAACAAAAATACCCACCCAGATGTTGAACAGAATAGGATGAGCTAAAAGATAAATAAGCATGAATTGAATGACATTCAAGATGTGTACTGGGCACTTTCCCTGATAGATATAAAGGAGAAGAAAAACAAATTGGAAATTCTGTAGAGCATCAGAGCATCCCAGGTTCTAATACCATTATTATTAGAACTGAGATCCTTTCCAAAAGGGCGAGGTTTAAAATATAGAAAGTGCATCGGATGTCCGGAGATCATCTATTAGTGTGAATCACAGCATGCAGCCAAGGAGGGAGAAGAGATGGAGAACTGGTGTTCATGGAGACATCTCAAGAAATATGTGCTAACTCTAAACCCAGGTACCTGAACCTGGAAAAGATAAGATAATCAGGTGTATAAACAGTTTGACTATCATCATCACTTAAGATTTCTATGGCATTTCATTAGATAAAATTTAGATATAAAATAGCTTTGCAAATGATTTTTATGTCCATTCAGGAGGAATATGACTGCTCTGTAGGATCCAGAAGGTACACATTTGTGTGCTAAATGGAAACTGCCAGTGTTTAGGATTGCTTGGAGATAATAGTTGTGGTAGGTTGGCTTGGTTTACTGGCCATTATTTGGCATGGCAACCATAAAAGTACCCTGTTTATGTCACCAACTCTGGCTGCTGCCAGTATAAGGGAAAACAGTTTCTAACTAAAAGGTCTTCAGCATGATAGAAGGCTGAAAAAAGGAACACAGAGCAACTCCTGCACATGACAGGTGTTTTTAGAGTAGCGCTAGGGACCACAACATAGCATCATTTTACTTTTAAGCAATTAAAGGTAAGGATTCACATGTTAAGTTGGATTATGGGAACTCTATCCAGTCTATCCAGTCTTCCATTGGTTTGCTTCCCATGTTCTCTTGGATATCACTCATAATTGCTTAAAAAGCTTCTCCAACTAAGTGCAGTTGGAGCAAGGATTGATGTGCAATGGAATGTTCTCCCACTCTCCTCCCAAATCTTATTTGGGGTTTTCCAAACCTTTCAGAGAAGATTTGGGAAGGGCATGCAGCATGCATGGGGGAAGAGAGGCGAGCAGAGTGGGAAACATTTTGTTGCCC